TTCTTATAATATACTACCTCTGCTCCTAAATAAATTAAATTAGTTATTTGTAATATATAGGTATTTTTTTAAAAATATCCTTGATAATCAAGTATGTTGACTAGAATTATTAAAAAAAAAATATAAATATGAGAGACAAAATAAATTTGGATCCTAGATTCAAGATCAAAAATAAAAGATTATGGGTATTAAGGACGGGACGTAGTATATATCTAGCACCGTAATCTTATTTATGATGTATCCATTATTCTAATAATATTATAATATTATTTTCATATGCATCCAACAACTCCCCATGTTACTTTCTGATTGTATGCTCCAGCATTTTAATTTTATTTATGGTTTAGGATTGTTAATGAACTATAAATGAGATTATGGGTTAAAAGTCATTTTTATTCCAAAAGTTTTCACAAAAAAATTGGGGGTGTCAAGAAAATCTTTTTTTAAAGTAATGTTATTCAGCAGTTAAAAAATCGGGGCAATGACATCCTTGGCCTACCAGATGCAAATATCATGCAACACAATAAAAAATTTTTAAAAAAAAATGAAAATGAGAGAGGGACCAAAGACGAACGCGTGATGCGCCTTCCATCTACCCCGACCTTTCTTCGTCCTCCAATTTCAATCCTTAAAGCCCACAGGATCTGATCTGTCACTTGTTTCCCTTGGATTTGAATGTCACCCCAAAACGATCCTAACCTTATCCCTAACGGCCAACCATCTGACTGAATCGTTTTGTTCTGGAATGCTTTGCAATTAATTATGGGTGAAGATAGGCCGATGATGCTCTGGAACCACGAGATTGGGACGTCGGCAAGAACCAGATCAGATTGGAAGGATTCTCTTGTGTCCATTGCAGAGAGAGGTCGGATGAGGCATCTAAGTTATTGATTTTTAATGAAAGAGCCTAAAATAGATGGGTTGTTAGAGCCATCGATATGGAGGCATAAATATCGGCAACTTGCTTAAAAGCTTATCCAAATGAGTGGAAGGAATATATTAAACATTATTGTCAAGCTCTGGCTCAGTAATCAGTTTTCAATTAACAAACAAAAGAATCAACAGACATGCAATCAGAAGGTGGAGTCCGACTGGAGCGTGATGATCGATAGTGTCGGTGTCGGAGCTGATCATCACGCCGACATAGGATAACACAGAGGAGGGGTCGAGATACGGGCGGCCACAAGAGATTACAAATATAAATTTAACTTTCTAATTTGCTCTAAATAAAAGAATCCAATCTATTTTCTCTCTCGTATTTATCTATTTGTTTCAAAGTAATCATTATAATAATTGCACATGTTAAATGTTATATCAAAATAGTTATAACTAATATATATGAGTGACAATGATATTTTAGAAAAGACAACATATATTTATAACAAATAACTAATTTAATAAGTTTTCTAATATACTAAAATTAGTCAATTAACTCTTATATTAAGAGTTTGAGGTAGTAATATGTTTCAAATTCTTCCGCCCCCACGCCAATGCTTTTTTAGAAGATTCTCTTAGTTAGATTTTATGATTTTAAACAAAAGATTAGAATTAATAAAAAACAATAAATATTTAAAATTAATTTGTTTCCTCCAATAAGCCTTTATCTAAGCATATTTAATAGATATATTTAAACAAAATTTTATTAAAAAAAATTAAATTTGAAATCCATAGAAGCGGTAATAAATGGGAAAGGGGTCTCTCCACTTATTTTTCTTTTTTCCATTTCCCTCTACATCTAGTCTTAACTACTACCTCAAGTCCTAATTATAAGATCTCGCTTGTAGTCTACAAATAAGGTCTTATAGTTAGAACAGGAGTAGTATTAAAATTACAATATGAAGGATCCATATTATAATTATATAAAATAATTTTCTAAAATATGTTTTTTATTATTGTTTTAAATTATCATAAGTAAAATTCAGTAGTTTAATTTTATTAATTTATTTTTCAGTAAAATTAACATTTTATTCATAATTTTATAAAATATAAAATTTCGATCATTCAAGCCTGGATTTTGTAATTAAGATAAGAAGTAAAAGGGGAAAAAAGGGATGGAGAGGCGCTTTGCCGTAATGGACGGTCGATGAGCCAAAGTCAATGAGAGAAGAAGCTGTCCGTCCCTTCTCATATAGTCAATTGGATACAGCCGGACTGTCCAGTGCACTGATCATTTCAGCCTCATCTTCCACAAAGCCCTTCATTATATGGCTAATCTTTCTTTCCCCGTTCTGTGGACGCGTTTTCTTCTGTGTTGACTTCTGTTTCTCACCGGTAGTCACCGCCATGCTTCAATCCTCAACTTGGATTAGCATTCGGTAATTTCCATGTGATTATTATCATGTGACCTCATTTTCATCTTCCTTTGTTTGTTTCTTCTGTTTCTGCCTTTCCACGATTGTTCATTCTCTACTTTTCATTTAGAATTGATCACTCTCTGAAATCTATGAATAATTGTAAATTTTTGTTTCAACTCTTGTAAATTTTTATATGTACACTAATAAATTTTGTTATCATTAGTTGCTAAAATATATATATGTAAATTTACTTATAAATATTCATAAATTTTTGGACTGGTAGTTATAATGTAAATTGGGAGTTACAAATTTTTATATATACACTTGTATTTTTGTTATTCTACATGTTAAAATGCATATATAAACTTATAAAAATGCATATATATACACTTATGGAATATTGGAAAAAAAGTTATTTATAAATTTAGTATTGTCAACATCAAATAAAACGTTTGTAATTTTTAGCTTTTTTTTTATCATTTTCTTTTAAATATATAATGTAAGAAATTTGAATAAATTATTTAATGTTAATAAATGTGACATATTTTTTAAAAACATTTTTATGTAATATTAGATTATATATCAATTTATGTATCAAATAATTTAGTCTGGAAAAAAATAATAAATATAAAAATAAAAATAAAACTAAGGTTATACATTTAAATGCAAAATTTGATTGCCTCGATGTAGATGCTTTGTAACAGGCTTGACTTCTTCTTTTCATACTAATTTTTATATTTAAGTATAAAGGAGTAAGATTCAGTAATTTGTTCTCTTTGATTTCATCTTTTCAATTTGATTATGTGAACTGAAATTATATTCTTTTGCTATATTGTGAGTCAGCAAGTTGAATGCCTCGGTGTAGATGCTTATAGGCTTGACATTCAACAAAATTAATTTTAACTGATTTTTCATTGTGGTACATAAATTAGTCTCGTAATAAGAATAAGATGAAGTATTAATTAGTTTAAACTTTAGAGATTAGAAGTTCAACAACCGATTTAAATATGCTTACCATGGAGTGAACGGGCCAATCAGACGAGAGTCTTGTCCTTTCGGTGCTCATCACTATGCTTACCATGGAATTTTCTCATCCACCGTTCTGATAAAGCACTGTCAGACTCACTCTTTCCCCCAAAGTCCTTCTTCCTCATCATCATATTCCTATTCTGTGGACTCGACTCAACTACTGTTTCTCACCGGGGTCAGCTGTCCGCCATCCCTCAATCCTCAACTTGAAATAGCATTCAGTAATTTTCTCTTTTTGCTCTGCTTTTCCTTTTGATTATTATCATGTGACCTCATTTTCATCTTCCTTTGTTTGTTACTCTTGCTTCTGCCTTTCCACGATTGTTCGTTCTCTACTGGGACAGATTCAAGGTTGGTCGATCTCTGAAGCTTCTCTGCGCACAATAATCTTCATCCCTTCATTACTTTGCTCGATTAAATTGCATGCATGTCAAGGAAAGGTAGATGATTTTGTAAGTGCAGGAAAAGTAGATCAGATTTATTGCCGAAAACTCAAGCGCCAAACTGTGGAACTGTATATATGACTCCAATCTTAATTATTATCACTTTGGTTCAGTCTCTGTATATATGTTGCATATGCAGGAACAGTAATAATGAAAAAGGTAGGTGGTGGAAGGCCAAAGGATGATGATGTGCGGCGACACGTTGAGGTACTGGAGGAAGGACGAAGATGGAAGTGTAAATATTGTGAACGGGAATTCGCAGGAGGTGCTAGCAGAATCAGATCTCATATTAATGGAGAAAAAGGCAGAGGCATTCGAGTCTGTCCAAAATTTGTTTCAGACAAAGGAAACTCCAATGATCTCAGAGACAACCTCCAACATTGTCAACAAGGAGGTTACGTGATTATATATTATTATGCTCCCTCGTATCTTTTTTATAAGTCATGCAGAGGGGATTTTTTCTTTTTGTTTTTTTGCCAGCTTTTTTTTAAAGATATCATCTGTGATATTCATTACATTTCTCCCACATTGCCGTTATTTAATGTTGACCCAATTGTTTACAGTTACGCTATACCATAGGTTTAATGAAGATAAAATCAATTAGATACTCCTTACTTTTCAGACAGAGGTGAAGAGTTTTAACTTTTAACTCTTTCCTTAGTTCTGGTAAATTTTTTTACAAGTCATGCTCAGGGAATTTCATTTCATTTTATTTATAATTTTTTCCTTCTGAGAAATCTCACTGGACGGTATAATAGATTATAGCATGCCGAACGAAGCAGGACAAAGCCAAGCCGATGCCAAGTATCAGGTTCGAGTTGTTGGGTCTTCTTCTGTTTCCGATGGGGAGAATGAAGACTTGAAGGTTATACAATATGTGTTTGAATGCTTAAGGTTAGATTCATCCTTCTGACTGTATATGTGCTTCTAATATGTATAGATGAATGTATTTTATTTTTTGTTTTCTTTTTTTAAATCACTCTAATTCTATGTTTTGATAAGTATATCATTTTAATTAATTCTTCAGTCCTGAAGATACGGTTTTTCGTTACCCACTTTCACATTTGACTCGAGAAGAATTTGCCACGCTTAGACCAGGAACTCGTTTGAATTCAGCGGTGATTATTTATTTATTATATTTTTATATTCTATTTTAATACTATTCTCAAAGGTTTTAGTTATACTAATGACACTCAGTTTCATGCATCCTTAGGTAATAGATATTTTTGCAGAGATGTTAACCCATATGGAGCGAAAGAAGAAAATTACACCTTCGAATTGGTTTCTTCCTGTGACATTTTCGGTGATTTCCTATTCCCTTTTTTGTTACATGATGCATGTCAATAGTTGTTTAATCTAAAGCTAGTTCATTGACAATAACTCTTAATGGTTCACCGTAATGTGATAATAGGATGCAGCACTCAAAGGCAGCATAGCTGACTTCTTGGACTTTGTCCATCGCCAAAAGATAAGAGAAAATTATATGTTTGACCTGAAATCCTGTGAGAAAGTATGTTAGTCTTTTCAACTCTTTATAGAAAAATTTCTCTATCAACATGATTACTTTTTTTCCCCCCTACTCTGTGTCAATTTGATTTTTGTTATCACAAATAATAGATATTTATTCCTGTTCACGTCGGAGCAAAGTCAAATGGTGGACATTTTTATTTATATGTTATTCATTTGAAGAATGAAGAGATTGAAATATGGGATTCTCTACCCAATAAGTTTGTGACTAAAACAGAACGTGACGAGACGACCGAAAAATTGGTGAGTGTTAGATAATTATTGCAATATTCACAGCATTAATCAATCAATTATTCTTTTGATTATATGGATTTTTTTTTATTTATATGCTTGATATCTAGTTGCTTGCCATGGAAAAGCTCTTCGAGAAATTCGAGAAAGTAGCATTTACGAAATTTCGTTCCAAGATGGAAATGGACATCCTCGAACAGCCTAATGCGTGAGTGAACGATTATTGTGTAAAATTACACAAACTTTACTGGAAAAAAATTTTAATCATGACATTATCATATATATATATTTTTTAATTTGTAGATTTGACTGCGGTATCTTTGTTATGAAGTTCATGGAACAATCAGAAAATTATGTGAAGAGAAATTCTTCATTTCAGGTATGACCTCTTACAAACATATAGTCATACACTTATAGGTAAGCACCTACACATGCCCACAAAAAGTTCACGAGCACCCAATCGCTTTCTTTGAGTCATATAAATCACACGGACAACCATGTAGTTTGACAGTGAAAAAGAAAGGAAGAATTTGGCTTCAAAGTTGCTCGACAGTGACCTGAACCAAGAAAAACAAAATCTATATGACAGAGTAAGACGCCACTATGCGCGAGTTGAAAAGCAAGATGGCCATAAAAGATTGCGATTTGACAAAGTGGATAGACATGATCCTTTAGAAAAAGGTATGAATATCAGCATATAAAGCATGTCCAACTCATTTTAAATGTCGTTTATGAAAATGTATTAAAATTAGTTGAAGTTTTTAAACTCTTAAAATTTGCCATAACTTTTATTGGCCAAACCAAATTGTCATAACTTTCAAAAATTACTCCCATTAAATTGTAACCCTCTCTTGTATATTTCTCTTAGCCACTCTCTTCTCAATACTTTTCGATTATTTAATGAGGGACAAGTTCAGAAAAATATTTAATGCTGCCTAAATTTTGTGGTGACTTACATTTTGAAAATTTTTTATTTACAGATAGAAATTAGGGTAAAGTTTGAATATAATAATCAGCAGTGCTGTGCTCTGCCTTTATTCATTGTATATATAGTACAGGTTACAAACACTAGAGGACAAAGGAATTACAATGAATCAGGAAAAGGGTATATCAAAACCTATAGGCTATAGACGTGTAGGTAAAGGAAGGATCTAGAGAATATGCAACGTTATCTTAATTATACAATGGGTGGTGCATGATTTACACTAGCATTTACACATGGGGATGGATAGAGTATGTGGTGACTACTTAAAATTTGAATGCCATATAATTAATTTATTTTTTGTTCATCTCACTATCTTTAATTAATTATTTGTCAGTATTCTTGTCGCTAGGATCTTCAAAAGGTTATATATTGCCCACAACAGATTTAATAGGGGAGGCTTTTCAGTGGCATATTGAAGGAATATGGGCATGGATAATGGATAATAAGAAGTCAGCAATTGGAATTTGGGGAATAGGAGGGTCAGGAAAAACAGCCTTAGCAGCCCATATACATAACAAGCTTATTTTGGAAGAAGCTACTAGTGACATTAACGTTATCTGGGTAACTGTATCACAAAACAGCATCTTGCATTTGCAAAAAGTGATAGCCAAATCAATTAAGCTGGATATATCTGATGAGTTTGAGGTTAAAAGAATTGCCGGGAAATTATTTCAAGCATTCAAAGAGATGAACAAATGTGTTATTATTTTAGATGATGTTTGGGATCATTTCTTTCTAAAGGACATTGGATTTCCTATGTCAGATAATCGAATTAAATTGATTTTGACCACTCGTATAAGGGAAGTGTGTCAAGGTATGGATTGCGAGAAGGTAATAAAAGTAGAGCCTCTAGATGTAGAAGATAGTTGGGCTTTGTTTGATGAGTTTTTGGGATTAAACCGTGAACAACTGTCTTCGGAAGTGGAAAATATTGCATGGAATGTGGCACGAAATTGTGAGGGTTTTCCCCTAGCTATTGTTAGAATAGCAACAAGCATGAAGGGGAAAACGCAGGTTAGAGAATGGAGTCATATGTTGAATTGTCTTGGAAACTTGGGCAAAGGGCAATATGAAATGGACAAATGGGTATTTCCAGTTTTGAGATCCAGCTATGATTTCTTAAATGACAAATTGCAAAGATTCTTCTTGTATTGTGTCTTCAGTGCTGGTGGTTTTTCTTGGGATGACAGTGCTGATCATTTGATAAGAAGGTTTGTTTATGAAAGCATTGATGAGACAACAGAGTTGAGTGTGCAGTATGACGAAGCTTACAACATGTTGCATAAATTAAAGAATCATAGCATGTTGGATTATAATGGCATATGGAGGATAAACAAATTTCTTAGAGTGCTGGCGATTGGTATTGCAGAAGAAACTTGTAAAATTATGGGAAAAGCTTACAAGGATTTGACAAAAATACCAAGTGATGACCAGTGGAAAGAAGATCTACAAAAAGTTTTTCTAACGGGAAACAAGATACAAACAATTCCAAATGGAACATGTCCTAAGTGTTCTCAACTTTCGACGTTGCTTTTGAATCGTAATGTAGCACTCAACGACATTTCAGATGAGTTTTTCAACAACATGCCCGCTCTTAAAATACTTGATTTGTCTAACACTGGGATCAAGTGTCTACCTGAATCGTTGTCCAACTTGAAAAGTCTGATTGCATTATTACTTTCTAGATGTGGAGAATTGAGTTACATTCCTTCATTAATAAAATTGAAACGGCTAATATCATTGGATCTGTCTTTTACTGCCATCACTGAAGCACCTGCGGGCTTGGAATCACTGGTCAATCTCAGATGCCTAAATCTACTCCCTACAAGAGAACCGGTAATGTCAGCATCGCTCCTATCCAAATTGATCAACTTAGAGTGTCTTAAGGTGGGTTGGGCCCAATTCTCAACGGATGAGATAGGACAAGGTACACGGGGTTTGGGAAAGTTGGATATTATAACAGCCTATTTTCGTGACATTGGCGTATTCAATACCTTTGTGAGCTTCCTGGCCCATAATCGTGTAACCAGAAGCTATAGTCTATCTTTAGTGGGGCATCCACGTTATGATATTGTCCTAACCAATGTTCCTTATGCTGATGATGAAATTATAGAATATTCTGTGAAAAGCATGTTTATTAAGAATATGGTTTTGGGAAATGAAAAAGTAGTGCTCCCCAGAGACATGAAGGAGTTGTTTATAGAGCGTTGCCAAATAGGGACATATGCTGGATTCCTATGCAGTGTTTTATCATATAGCCACAATAATAATCCACACCCAATTGAACTGTTGGATGTTAGCGATTGTGAAGATGTGGAGGAATTGTGTTGCTGCTGTTGCCCCTTTTGCTTCTCTTCCCACCGCGTTGGACGTCTAAGGCTCTGTCATTTGAACAATTTGAAAAATTTAGTGTCACCATCTGCTGATTCCTTTTATAAATTCACCCAATTTTCTAATCTCACAGATCTTGAAATTGAGGGTTGCAACGGCATGGAGACTCTGATCGCATTTAAGTTACCAGCACTCCTCCAAAACCTGCGCACCATTTTCGTTCGTAGTTGTAAGAAGATGAGAGAAATAGTTGGGGAAAAGCAAACTGTAATGGAACCTACTTTTATTGAATTTCCCAACTTGACATCTCTGGAATTAGACGACATGCCAGAATTAGATTTCGTATACAGAGGCATCATGCTCTGCCCTTCCCTCCAAACATTCTCTGCTCTTGATTGCAAGAAACTAAATCCCCCTCAGATAGCGATCTCAAATAATGGAAGTGTGCTTCGGATGGAGAAGAACTTATGGGGTGATTACGATTGGCGAAAGTGATTAATCAGGTCCATATCCACCCCACTCTCTGACTTACTTTTATATTATGTTTATGATGAATATCGTTACTATTTGTGTTTATTTCTCCTCTTGCTTCAAACAATCATTCAATTGTTTCCTTGTCTTCTTTATTTCTCTCCATCTGCCCGCGTTGTACTTGATTTTTGTGATCATCACTAACCTTGCAGGCTCATATCAGTTTCTGAATGCGTGCAAATAAAAACAATTAATGTTCCAATAATTGGCATTTTGTTTATTATAAAATACTACATCGAATATCATAAATAAATCTCAACAAAGGGAAGCCAATTTGTAGGATACATAACCTCATCATCTCTCTTTTTTTTTTTTTTCAATTTGAATGTTCGAAGTGTGCACCGGCGCTACTACTCACTCCGGGATATTAATTGTTGAGAATATATCTCATCTCCTAAGTTGCTAATGATATTTTCAATTATTCACTCAGTTGCAAAGTATATATTGTTGCAAATTGCAAAGTTGTTTGTGGCATGAGTCTCAATTATTCTAATTCTTTTTTGTAATGTCATATGCAGGATGCGCTTTTTGCTGTGTGGGACACTGAAAGTGATCAGGCCTAGCATCCTTTAAGCTATCATTTAAGATCTGCTTTTGATTCTAATATTTATATTGTCTGTTTCTATATTTGTTCAGCTACACTATTTTAATCGGTACATTTATGGTGAAACTAAGTTTGTAATGCAACTATTTGCTTGTTTTAACTAAACTATTTGTTGGAAGAATGACACGAACACTTATTCAAGGGAATTATTTATATTGAACTCAAGTCGAATTGCATAGATAAATTTACATATAAACTCTGAATATGGGACTTGTTTATGAATAAAACCTTGCGAGTTCTACTAAAATACTCTCAAGTATCTTAAAATCGGTTGTCCTCAGTTTCTATTTGTAGGACAACATTTTGGAGAGTAATATTTGTTTCTACTGATAAGACAAATTAGAAAATTTGAGAATTATTTAGTACTTTTTTTAAAAAAATTATTATTAGTGACCTAGGGGAGAAAATGTGGCTCATTATAAAGGTTTATATATCATAATTACAATGATTCCGTCTTTTTCTCATTTATGTCTTTACAAATTAACATAGCTCAATCTAATAGGCGCGTTGCTGGTTGACTGGCAAAATATATCTTTAATACTCGTTGAGTCCTTAATGTAGGATCTAATTCTTCAGTTAATTTTGATCCTAAATATAAGACCTATTTTTTATATTTGTCAATTTTTTTTAAATTACCCTTATAGATATTCTTTTAACCATAATCAAGTAAGTGAAAGGAAGGATGTTAAGAAAGATGATTATAGTATTTTAGGAAAAACATGTCATATTTTTAATAATTAACTAACTTACCTAAGTTTTTAAATCTAATTAAATTAGTTAAATAGATCTAATATTAAGGACCGGAGTATTATCAATTTTATCATTTTAAAGACAGTAATTTATTTTTTTTTATTATGTACTGTTGTATTTGAAATGACACCATTTATCAATTCTCGTTAAGTTGTCAACGCTTTTGTTTAAGTGAAATCGTTATAATTTTATGTGCATTAGATCGTATATAATTTTCAACATTTAAAAAAAATAAGTATTCCAATTACAAATAAAAATTGATTGCAAACTTTTAAAATTTCTATGTCACAAATTTACGAAAATGCACACGGCATATCTATTCTTCGAGATACTATATGTTAACTATGAATGCCAGCCATACAGTACAAATAAGTATTTTGTCATCATGAATCAAAAAGCTGACTTTGAGGGAAAAAAATCATATTGCATTTGCAGTTGAATTATTTTAAAAATTAAGCTTTAAAATCTAATCAAACTTTTAAAAACAAAAACGAAAGATGCCATATGCAGGGCAACGGAAAGAAAGAAACGGAATTCGCCTCTTTTGAGAATAATGTTGTGATAAGAACTGACGATTAATTATAATTATAAATGGATAAATAAACAGTAGTGTTTTATGTAAATAATATGTTTTATGTAAAATTGGAAAACAGGCATGAGAATATCCAAATTATTTAAAGAAAACAGGCACACACTAGCACTCCACGTGTGACTCTGTTTCCAGCAGGCCTACATTATTCTTCAATTTCTATAGCAAACCAACTTATTTAATTCAACATAAGTCAACATGTTGAAGATGACAAATCAATCCGACATCGAAAGACCATATTGGGCTCTTATCAGTTCCTATTTTAGTAGCTGCCGGCACCATGAGAGACAGAGATCTTTCTTCTCATCGCATGTTAAATGATTTCTACAGTGTACATATATATTGCCATTGCTTGCTTGCGAAGTAGCAGAGAGTTGTTGGCCAAAAAAAAAAAAAGTAGTAGAGAGTTAAGTTTGTGAATTGAAGGAAGAGAGATTTGAGATTGCAGCAGAGAGAGAGAGAGAGAGAGAGAGAGAGAAGGGAGATGGAAGAAGTAAAGGTGGTGAAGTGAGAAGGATTCATATAATGTACTTCCTCAGTTTGATGGATTGTTCTGAAGAACCACATCTCATACGTATTCATCATCTGGCTTGTAACGGGGTCTATCTTCGAGGTGGCTTCATTTCACTGTTTCTTTCACCGCATATTTGTTAGACCTAAGAAAGTTGTTCTCACTTTTGACCTCTGTACTTGGTACTTTGTTTCTCACTTGCACATGTCATAATTTGTTGATTCTCACCTCTAATGTTATATGCTTCTCTCTTCTGTCTTTTAATACTCTGTTTCTTTAAGGTTTTAGACTTGTCTTTATAACATGAAAAACCACATTATTAAGCGTTTTATTTGTACGTTAAAATTTAGCTAAACAAAGAGACAACAATGGCATGAATTACGGTTGTGGTTTTTGAGATGGTGGGTTTACGAATTACAAGCTCCTCTGTCTTTGTGTGTAGTGCCCTATTCTCGCTTTTAGAGGTCATGATTTATGAACTTTGTTTATGTGATCAAAGATGTGAAGAGATGGATTGGAGAAGTGAGAGGGAAGTATTTGACAGACACATAGGCATGGTCCTATAAAAAGTAGAATGAATGGTATCTTTATAATCTGTTTTTTATTTGTTTGAATGAGTTGAAGTGTGTCATTTGCGGGTTCAAATTTTAAGCAGGATATACAAGACAGGATACGTGTGGCAAGACTTGTTGGATGATGATCTCATCACTCCAATCTCTGATAATGAATACGTCATTAAAGGATCTCAAACCCACCCTCCCTCTTTTGGTATGTCCTTCAAATGAAATAGTGGAGTGTTGTCATTTGGTAATAAATTTCAAAATGAGTTATGTAGGTATTTGTTGAGAAGCCTCTTTGATTACGCAGAAACTTTTATATTTGGTGAAAGGAAAGCTTCCATGTTGAACAAGGAGATTCATGTTCAAGTACATGATGGAGAGGGCAAGCAGTTGAAGCAGAAGTAACCATTGATACCGGAAGAACTTCAACTTGAAAGATTTCCATATTTCAAATCAAATTCTCAGGATTAGCTATCATCAGAAATAAGCTCTGATAGGTCCACATTACCGGATGAAAGTGAATCTTGTAAGGTTGAACCAGACAGACTTGTGGACACAGGCAAACAAGACCCAGAGACATCATTTTCAATTTCATTATCATCATCTTCTTCTTCATCATCATTATCTCCCTTGACAGGAAGTAAGAGATTTTCAACAGGAGCTTCTGGTTTGTTTCGCAACTTGATCACCTGTGGAGCCTTAGATCCAAACGACGACGTTGTGGTCAGGCTGAACCAAGCTCATAAAACTGTTTCTAAGAACTCTAACACCCTCGATGATGGTAATGTTAACGCACAGATTCGCAAACATGACAGCTTTGGAGGATCAGCTAGGAATCTTGGAAGTTGTTGGAATCCCCAGCAGGAGCATCATGAACCCAGGTAAGTAAATGAGAAATTGGGCCCAGAATATTTCAAGCTACAAATTATGACAAAAATCGAAGTTTTTCTTCATAACATGAGCTTTCATATTTGCAGAAAAAGTTGTGATGAGAAGAGCACAAACAAGAACAAGAAGAAGCTAGGCGAGTTTCTTTTTTTTTTTTTTTGGAATGAAAAAGGACAACAGGAAGGAAATACAGAAAAGCAACGCAAAAAACAAAACAGCCCCTACAAACTACTCCCCATCTATCTCAGATAAGTCGGGAAGGAGGTGATCAAACAGGCAGAGCTAGGCTAGTTTCTGAATCAGATTTCTCACAAACCATTTGGAGGGTCAATTTTCTCTAGATGAGAGAAGGCAGAAAATACAAGAAAATACGTTGTAGGGAAGAAAAACAGGGCATGTTTGGAACCAGAAAGCCCATCAGGATGAAAGATCCATTTTGTTGGACTATTTTATACAGATTGCAAGTTCCGTGTAGTCATAATCTGTCGAAATGATAATTCTTTTTGACTTCATCAGATTCCACGAGCATTATCCAAATCAATGATTTATTTCACGTTATATGTTACTTGTTAATTAAACTAAATTGAGAATTTCAATCTATCTTCGACCTTTACTTTTGATTTGTAGCTACAATTCTTCTGCCCGCCACCAATTTTGGGGCTGGCCTTTTTAAAAATAATTAAAATTAAATTCCAGTCATAATCTAAAATTTCATAACCTATATTAATTAATTCAGCCTTTAAAAATCATTATATATACTATACTTGTAGTCTTGTGGTCAAATCTTTTTTTAAAAAAAGGAATTCATTCTTCATCACCATGATAGCGTTGAAGCTTAAGCTGACCTCCTCGACTTTTCCTAGTGTGAATTATGCAGAATTAATGGCTGCTTCTATATTCAGAACATTGATTCATCTCCTATCATCATTTGCCATTAATATTTTTTAATATAAAAAGAAAATTTTATATACCAAATAAAAAAATACTCCCTCTGGTCCTTAATGTAAGAGCTAGTTGATTAATTTGAATATATTAAGAAATTTTATTAAGTTAGTTATTTGTAATAAATAGGTATTATTTTTCTTAAAATGCCCTTGCTAATCATGTATATTAACTAAAACTACCATTCGATGAAATATTCGATATGTGTAACTGTTATAAGAACTACTTTGAAGAAAAATGAATAAATATGAGAGACAAAGTAGATTAGAGTCTTATATTTAGGATCAAATTAAAAGTCAAAATAGATCTTATATTAAAAATCGAAAGTAGTATTACAATACAAAGTGTATATAGGGACGAACATAAGAAGAAGATAAGTTCATAAATTGAGGTTTGATTAGTCCTTTATTCATCTCCAACTGAAGACAATTTGCCATTAATTCTTTGATGAGTCTTTTGAATTTGTATTTACATTACAGACAAAGGTGCCAGTGCCACAGCTTTTTGTGTTTGGTTGCATTTGGAGCTGCTATGGTCTTTCCCCCCTATGTTTTTTATTAACAATAAAATGAGCAAAATATTTTATTTAAGGTTATCATATTTTGACACTAATATTAAATTGTAAATTAACATAAATTGCGTGGTGAGTATATGTAAGAGATAGTACAGGAAAACAAAAAACTTAAGTGATAGGAAACCAAATTAAATTGATTTTGACTACCCGTATAAAGGAAGTGTGTCAAGGTATGAATTGTAAGAAGGTGATAAAAGTGGAGCCTCTAAATGAGGAAGATAGTTGGGCTCTGTTTGATGAGTTTTTTGGGATTATTCCGTGAAGAACTATCTTCGGAAGTGAAAAACATTGCATAGAATATGGCACAAAAATGTGAGGGTTTGCCCCTAGCTATTGTTATAATCGCGACAAGCATGAAGGGGAAAACGGAGACCGGAGAATGGAGACATATGTTGGAATGTCTTGAAAACTTGGGCAATGGACAATATGAAATGGACAAATGGGTATTTCCAGGTTTGAGATCCAGCTATGATTTCTTAAATAACAAATTACAAAGATTCTTCTTGCATTGTGCCTTAAGTACCAGCAGAAATTTTTCTAATTACACTGTTGATCATTTGATCAGAAGGTTTGTTTATGAAAGCATTGACAAGACAGAGAAGTTGAGGGTGCAATATAATGAAGGTCTCAACATGTTTGATAAATTAAAGAATCATAGCATGTTGGACTATGATGGTGAATGGATGATAAACAAATTTCTTAGACTCCTAGCTATTGGTATTGTAGACGACACTTGTAAAATTATGGGAAAAGTTCATAAGAATTTGACAGAAATACCGAGTGATGACCAATGAAAAGAAAATCTACAAAAACTTTTTCTGACGGGGAATAAGATACAAACAATTCCAGATGGCACATGTCCTAGGTGTTTTCAGCTTTCTACATTGCTTTTGAATCACAATGCAAAACTCAATTAACTACATCTCAGATGATTTTTTCAGCCACATGCCTACCCTTAAAACACTTGATTTGTTTGAGACTACGATCGAGCATTTGCCTGAATCGGTGTCAAACTTAAAATGTCTCATTGGATTACTACTCTCAGGATGTACAAAATTGAGTTACATTCCTTCATTAATAAAATTGAAACGGTTAATGTCATTGGATCTGTGTTCTGCTGCTGTCACTGAAGCACCTGTTGGATTGGAATCATTGGTCAATCTTAGATACCTGAATCTGTTCAATACAGATAAGCTGGTAATGTCAATATCGCTCATATCCAAATTGATCAACTTAGAGCATCTTGAGCTGGGTGGTCCCCTATACAAAACGGATGTGACAGCACAAGGCACACAAGGTTTGGAAAAGTTGGAACTTGTACTCGCCACCTTCTATGACATTAATGTCTTCGATAGCTTTGTGAGCATCCTAGCCAAAAGTCATGTACTCGAAAGTTATCGTTTAACTTTGCAACATAAACGTATTTGTTTCGAAGATGACGGGATAATAACTCAAAGTTCTGCGAAGAAGATAATTTTTAGGGCTATGGATTTAAGAAACAGAGTAGTACTCGCAGGAGACATCAAGCAGTTGGGTATACAGAATTGCTGCCACCGGACAGGTGCTAGGTCCCTTTGCAGTGTTCTATCATATGGCCTCAACAATAATCCACACCAAATTGAAGAGTTGGATGTTTGGTATTATGCAAATGTGGATTACTTGTGTTGTAGCACTTGCCCCTTTTGCTCCTCTTCCCAACTCGTTGGACGTCTATGCCTCCATGAAATGAAGGATTTGAAAATTTTGATGTCACCATTTGCTGATTCCTTGCATGAATCCACCCTATTTTCTCAACTCACAAGTCTTTCGATTGCGCATTGCAACAGCATGGAGACTCTGATCGCGTTCAAGTTACTAGCACTCCTCCGAAACCTGCGCTACATTTTCGTTTCTTCTTGTGAGAAGATGAGAGAAATAGTTGGAGAAAACCATTCTGTAATGGAACCTACTTCAACTGTTGACCTCATGGACCTTCTGCATGACAACTTTTCTCACCCTACAATTGAACTTCCCATGTTGACATCTCTAACATTATGGCACATGCCACAATTAGATTTCGTATACAGAGGCATCATGCTCTGCCCTTCTCTCCGGAGATTCTTTGCTGATGACTGCAAGGAACTAATTCATCCTCAGATAGCGATCTCAAATAATGGATGTGAGCTTTCGATGGACATGACCTCAACTGGATACCAATGGCAAAATTGATTAATCAGGTCCTCTTTAATGACAAAAAGTAAAATTAATTTATATGTGAGAGCCAAATAATCATATGTTCCTTTTTGTCTTGTTTATTTCTCTCTGTCTACTTGTGATCGCCGACCTTGGACGCTTGTCAGTTTTTGAATGCCTACCAATAAAAATAATTAATGTTCCAATAATTTAAATTTTGTTTATTATAAATTACAACAAATATCATAAATAAATCTCAACAAAGGGAAGCCAATTTGTTGGATATATGACTTGATCATCTCTTTATGCCTTTTATTTGAATGTTCGAAGTGTGCAGTACCACACAATTCAGGATGTCAATCAGTGTGAATGTACCGCATCTCCTAAGTCCGAATGATATTGTCAATTATTCTGTCACTTGCAAGGCAGAGCAGCCAGGTTATTTGTAGCACGCATTTCAATTACAGGGCCATATATTCGCAGTTCTAATCCCTTTTTATTGGAAGAATGACACCATAACTTACTCTATGAATATGTCTTAAATGTATTTATTTTTATATGCACCAGTGTAGGCATTACGTTGTTGCGTAATAAAAACGTTATTATATGTGTGTGTTATACACACACACACATTACAATAGAATGCCATAACTAATTCCTTTTTTTTGCTGGTATAAAAAAGTTTAAATGCTGAGAGAGCTTATAGATTCAAACTCACAATTTTATGAGTGATAAGTTATTTTTTATCAACTAAATCAATTCTTATTGACAATGCCATAACTAGACATTTGGCTGAAAATCAAATCATGATTTTAAAAATAATTTTATAATATATAAAATAAGTATAAGAGAGGAGTTTTGTCTAAAGTATTTTTTATTTGCTTTTACTTGGTACCAAACAGTCAATAAGTCATTACACCTCTGCCATGCCCTTCTGCTTTCCTCTTAAGCCCGAAGTAGCTAGCCCACCAGTCCCCTCTTCACAGCCCAAGCCCACGTTAACATTAAGTTGTTTCATAATAGCTCACTAGTTTAATAATGTCACGCTCAACACATATAAAAAAAAGAGAGAGAGAAAATTATCATGAGGTTCTAAAAAAGAAATTTAATTATCAAAAAATTTTAGTGACAAATGATAAGCTTGAACCTGTTGTCATTTTCTATTTTAAAATTTATCATTACATGCTCTTCAATTGTCAACAAAATTTATTTAATTAGGAGCAAATTTGAAAAGGAATATATTAAGACACAGATAATTAAGCCCCTCTATGTACATAATTTTGGCAACTAAATATATTATTATATCTAGGGATGGAGGGAATATATTGTTTGGTGACTTCTGATGAGGATGGAAGAGAGGAAAATTTCACAAAATAGGCATCTATTTGCTACCTCGAAAAGGAAGTTAGGTATATGATGGCCATGCCCACAAAAAAAAAAAAAGGAATGAAAAGAAAAAGGGAAGTTGAATATAATAGTTTTTCTTCCGTTTTTCATCTTTGAGTTGCAATTTGTCTCCTTAGTGTTGCTCCCCAATTTGTTTAGGAAGGATGCTTTATCTTTAGGGGCATCTGTACAAGCGGACTTGAATAGTCTTTAAGAAAAACATCATTTAGATGTGACTCAGATTATATTAAAACTTTATTTCCACAGATCTGCCCTTAAATTAGGTGAAAGAATCTTGCATTTAGTGAAAAAGAAGATATTTTTGTTCTTATTGGCCCACTGATTAGTTGGCATGCACCGGGCGGTAGCGGGGAACACTATATGGTGATTCTTAATTTGTCCATTTTCAGTTATTAACGCGTTTTCTTCTGTGTTGAGGCATCAAGTCAGCAGCACTACTGCTTCTCACCAGAGTCAGTCGTCCGCCACGCTTCGATCCTCAACTTGAAGTAGCATTCAGTAATTTTCTCTCTTTGCTCTGCTTTTCCATTTGATTATTATGTGACCCGATTTTCTTCTTCGTTTTGTCACTATCTGAATCTGCCTTTGCACAGACTGATTCAAGATTGATCAATCTCTGAAGTTGCGTGGCGTGCAATAATCTTCACCCCTTCATGACTTGGCTCGATCAAATTGCATGCCTATTAAGGAAAGGTAAATGATTTTGTATGTGCAGGAAAAGTATATTAAATTTACTAACGAAAATTCAAGCCCTAAACATATCAAAAAGTCATGCTCTGAAAAGCTACATTTCAAACTGTGGAGCTGTATGTCTTCAAATTTCATTACTACTTTGGTTCAGCATATAGGAACGGTAATAATGGGAAAGGTAGGTGGAAGGCCAAGGGATGACGTGTGGCTACACGCTGAGCTATTGGAGGGAGGACGACGAGTGAAGTGCAAATATTGTGGCTGGGAATTTGCATCAAGTGCTAACAGACTTAAATCTCATATTAATAGAGGGCATTCGAGTCTGTCCAAATTTTGTTTCAGAGAAAGGAAGAAACTCCAATGATTTAAGAGACAACCTCCTACATTCTCAACAAGGTATTCCGTCTATTTCATAACATAAGGCACTTCTAAAATAATAGTTTGATTAAAAATATAGATCATTTTGGGACTAATTAATATTCGTCTGTCAATTTTATCTCTGGAATGAATACTTCAATGTAATTCGTTGCATTATTTTCCCCACAACCTTATTTGATATAGGTAAATTTAAAAAAAAAATTCAATTTGAGATAAATTTAATGAGTTAACTACTATTTTTTAATTATAAAAATTAGTTAAAATAATCTAATTATATATTATTATACTCTCTCCTATCTTTTTAAATTCACAGAGAGAGATTTTTTTCCCCTTAACTTACGCTATATAGGTTTAAATGAAGAAAACATTAATTAGACACTCCTTTACTTTTCAGACAGAGGTGAAGAGTTTTAAATCTTCCTTTAGTTCCGGTAATGTTTATCGTTTTTGTAGTAAGAAATCTCATTGGATGGTCTAATAGATTATAGCGTGTCCAACGAAGCAGGACAAATCCAAGCTGAAGCTAAGCATCAAGAAATGATTCAAGTTGGGTCATCTTCTATTTCCAGTAGAGAGAATGGAGACTTGCAGGTCATACAATATGTGTTTGAATATCTAAGGTTGGATTCGTACCTCCGTATGAATGTATTCTATTTTCGTTTTGCTTTTTGAATCACCCTAGTTCTATTTTGTGATAAGTATATCGTTCTAATTCTTCAGTCCTGAAGATAAGGTTTTTATTTCTCCACTTTCATATTTGACTCAAGAAGAATTTGCCACACTTGAATCAGAGAATTTTTTGGATTCATTCGTGAGTATCTATTTATTATATTTTTATATTCTATTTCAATTTTAATGACCACAGTTTTAGTTATATTAATATTAAGCTCTATCCATTCTTAGGCAATAGATATTTTTGTGGAGATATTAATTGATATTGAGCGAAAGAAAAAAAAAACTATACCTTCGAATTGGTATCTTCCTGTGACATTTTCGGTGATTTCCTATTCGCTTTTCTGTTATATGATGTATGCCAATAGTTTTTTTTTTAATCTAAAACTAGTACATTGATAACTACTTTTAATGGTTCATCCATAACGTAATTATCGGATGCAGCACTCAAAGGCAGTATAGGTCACTTCTTGAACTTTGTCCATCACCAAAAAAAAAGAAGAAGAGAAAACTATATGTTTGACCTGGAATCCTGTGAGAAGGTATAATTTTCCAACTCTTTATAGAAAAGTTTCTTTGTCAGCATGATTGCTTTGTTTTCTTCTCGCCATGTCAATTTGACTTGTGTTATCACCAATGATAAGTGTTTATTCCTGTTCACATTGGAGCAAACCCAAATGGTGGACATTTTTATTTATACGTTATCCATTTACAGAACGAAGAGACTGAAATATGGGATTCTCTACTCGATACATTTGTGACTGAAACAGAACACAATGAGGCAATAAAAAAATTGGTGACTGTTAGATAATTGGAATATTCAGAACATTAATCGATGATTGTTCTTTTGATTATATAGAATTTCTGCTTTTTATCTAGTTGCTTGCCATGGAAAAACTCATTGTGAATGTAGCATTTACGAAATTTCGTTCCAAGATGGAAAACGTCATCCTCCCACAGCGCAATGGGTGAGTGGACCACTATTATGTAAAATTATATAAACCTTTCTAGAAAAAGTTTTTACCATGACCTTATCATATTTGTATATTATAATTTGTAGATTTGACTGTGGTATCTTTGTTAGGAAGTTCATGGAACAATCAGATAATTATGTGAAGAGAAATCCTTCATTTCTGGTATGCCTCTTACGAACATGTAATCGTAGACTCATAGGTAAGCACTCACAAATGCCCGCACATAGTCCTACACCGGCACTCAAGTACTCTCTCTTACCCCGTGAAGTAAATGGAGGGGAAGATAAGAACGAGGAAATTTTAACGAGATCGATTTAAAAAAAAAAAAATTAAAGAAACAGGGTTTTGAAATTTTAAAAAAGAGAATATGTAAAATCAAAAAAGTACTAAGAATTAATTAAAGACTTTTACCTCCATTTCTCCAATTTTTTAAATTGGTCTCATTAAAATTTTCTCTTTCTTTTCCTTCCCTCCATTTTCTTCATCCCAAACACACCCTTAGTCATATGAATGATACGGATGACTATGTAGTTCGACAGTGAAAAAGAAAAGGAGGATTTGGCTATGAAGTTGATCAACAGTGACCTGAACCAAGAAAAGCAAAATCTCTATGACAAAGCAAGACGGCACTATGCACAAATTGAAAAGCAAGATGGCAATAAAAGATTACGAGTTGGCAGGGTGAATAGACAAGATCGTTTAGAAGAAGGTAAGAGTATCAGCATATAGAATTTATATCCAACTCCATTTATTTGTCATTTATGAATTTGTTGAAGTTTTTAAACCCTTAAAAATTTTCATAACTTTTTCTTGGCCAAAAAAATTGTCATAAGCTTAAAAAAATTACTCTCATCAAATTGTAATGTTCTCTCATATTTTCCTCTTGGCCACTCTCTTCTCCATAACTTTTTGATTATTTAAAGAGGGACGAGTACGGAAAAATATTTAATGCTGCCTAAATTTTTTGGTGACTTAAGTTTTGAATTCTTCAAATCTTCCAAAATGTGATTTCCACATAGGGACGGAGAGAGTATATACGATTGCTTAAAATTTGAATGCCATATTATCTAATTTAATTTTTTTTTTTACTTTTCTCATCACTATCTTTACTTAATTATTTATTACTATTTTTGTTGCTAGGGTCTTTCAAAGATTATATATTGCCTATAACAATAGGGTTGAAGTTTCAAAGTTATACCAAACAAATATGGGAGTGGATAATGGATGACAAGGTTGGAATGGGGGGTTCAGGAAAAACAGCCTTAGCAACCCATATTCATGACAAGCTTTAAAAAAAGCCTATGGTGACATTAAAGTTATTTGGGTGGCTGTATGACAAAATATCGATATCTACAAGTTGCAAAAAGTCATAGCTAAACCAATTAAGTTGGATATATTTGATGAGTCTCATAAAAGAATTGCTAGAAAATTATTTCAAGCATTCAAAGAAACAAAGAAGTGTGTTATTGTTGAAGATGATGTTTGGGATCATTTCTCTTTAAAGGATGTCGGGTTTCTCATGTTAGATAATCGAATTAAACTGATTTTGACCACTCGCGTAAGAGAAGTGTGTCAAAGCATGGACTGTGAGAAGGTAATAAAAATGGGACCTTTATATACACAAGATAGTTGGGCCTAGTTTGAAAAGTTTTTGGGATCCCACAAAGCATTGTCTTTGGAAGTGAAGGGTGGCACAGAAATGTACGGGTTTGCCCCTAGTATTGTCATAATCACAACAAGCATGAAGGGAAAAACACAGGTTGGAGAATGAGTCATATGTTGGAATGTCTTGAAAACTTGGGCAATGGGCAATATGAAATGGACAAGTGGGTATTTCCAGTTTTGAGATCTAGCTATGATTTCTTAAATAACAAATTGCAAAGATTCTTCTTGTATTATGCTTTAAGTACCAATGGAATTTTTGGCAACGATGAGGCTAATCACTTGATAAGAAAATTTGTTTATGAAAGCATAGATGAGACAAAGAAGTTGAGGGTGCAGTATAATGAAGGTTATAATGTGTTGCATAAATTAAAGAATCATAGCGTGTTGGATTATTATGATGAATGGATGATAAACAAATAGAGCCCTTGCTATTGGTATTGCAGAAGAAACTTTTAAAATTATGAGAAAAGCTTATAAGAATTTGACAGAAATACCAAGTGATGACCAATGGAAAGAAGATCTACAGCAAGTTTTTCTAACGGGAAACAAGATACAAACAATACCAAATGGCACATGTCCTAAGTGTACCCAACTTTCAACGTTGCTTTTGAATTGTAATGTAAAACTCAACCACATCACGGATGAGTTTTTCAACAACGTGCCTGCTCTTAAAACACTTGATTTGTCTAAGACTGCAATCCAGCGTTTGCCCGAGTCGGTATCCAACTTAAAATGTCTCATTGCATTGTTACTTTCAGGATGTAGAGAATTGTACATTCCTTCATTAGGGAAATTGAAACGCTTAATATCATTGGATCTATCTTGTACTGCCATCGCTGAGGCAACTGTGGGTTTGGAATCATTGGTCAATCTTAGGCGCCTGAATCTACTCAAGATTGATAAGTTGGTAATATCACCATTGCTCATATCCAAATTGATCAATTTAGAATGTCTTGAGTTGGGTGGGGCCCAATGCTTAATGGATGCATTAGTGCAAAGTGCACAAGGTTTGGAAAAGTTGGAAGTTATACGTGCCTACTTTCATGACATTAGCATCTTCAATACCTTCATGAGGTTCGTGGCCGAAGCTCGTGAAATCAGAAGCTATCGATTAACTTTATATCATGAAATTTATAATTTTAGTGGTGGTAGTGGTGGTGGTGATGATGATGATGATGAGGAGGAGGAGGAGGAGGAGGAGGAGATAAACAGAGAATATTATATGAAAAGGATAATTCTTGATGGTACGAATTTCAAAAATTGAGAAGCAGTAGTACTCCCAAGAGACATCAAGTTGTTTATAATAGCATGTTTCCTGGGGACAGGTGGTAGATCCCTATGCAATATTTTATCACATGCCCACAGCAATAATCCACCCCAAATCGAATTGCTGGGAATTAGCAACTGTGAAGATGTAGAGTGCTTGTGTTGTTGCAGTTGCCCCTTTTGCTCCTCTTCCCAACTCGTTGGACGTCTACAACTCTGGGAAATGAACAACCTGAAAGATTTGGTGTCACCGTCTATACACCCTATTTTCTCATCTCACACATCTCCGAATTTCGGAATGCAAAAGCATGAATCTCACACTTCTCCAAAACCTGCGCACCATTTTCGCTCGTAGTTGTTGGCAGATGAAAAAAATAGTTGGATAGGATCATTCTGTAATGGAACTTACTATCAAACTTCCCATGTTGACATCTCTGACATTATTTAACATGCCACAATTAGAGTCCGTATACAGAGGCATCCCGCACTGCCCTTCTCTCCAAATATTCTCTGCTTCTTTTTGCGAGAAATTAAACTAAATCCCCCTCAGATAGCGATCTCAAATAATGGAAGTGTGCTTCCCATGCAGAAGGTCCCGGCTGGTGGTGTAACACCTATCCCTTATATACTAGTAGAATTATTCTATTTAATCATGATCCATTAAAAGCCAGGTTTCAATCCTGGGAATTTTATATATTGTTATTTCCATCCGGCCCTTCGAATCCTGAATTAAGTCAACTATAGCCAATAGGGTTTAACATTTGACACCCTGGCCATTGGCTCACACGACGAGATACGTAATTAGATACACATAATTTTAGGCCAAATAATAATTATATCAAAAAATTTGACCATTTCCTTCAATAGCAGTCATTATGATCTATCTGCCCTTAGTCATCTCCTTATGGAGGAATATTTACATACCAAAATAGATATACAATATATATCTTTACTCCAAAATAAGATGCATTTTAAACAAAATATATATGTACAAATGATCGCCAGCTTCCTGCACTTTTAAACTCCACCGATCACTACTCCCTTGCCCTTAGGAGTACTTGCTCTTGCTGTATTACATGGAAGAAGGGGTGAGATTCTAAAGAATCCCAGTAGTAACAAATTTCCCTCACGTAATCATACAAGATCACAAACAACATGCTACACAGGCCGAAGAGAACAACACCTTGCATCCAAGTATAATCAATGATGCATATACACCATACACCAATATAGCTAATCGCTATCTATCGCGCCCACATTCCAAAATAAATGGAAACCAGCGCATATTGTCATGACAAATATTATTATGCAAAGGCAACTTACATGTTCTCATGCACAATCAGCATAAAGGCACATCCAAGCATGTGGCAATCAATGCACAATCACATTAAAGGAAAAGAGTTACTACCTTTTGCTTTTTCTTCTGTACTAACTTCCCCTTGCTTCTTCCTTGGCTCCCTTCTTAATGGACTTGAACAAATATCAAATCCTATAATTTATATGGGGAGTGGTAGATTAATATATATATATATATATACACACACATATATATAAGTATATGTAAAGTAGATTATTTATTCCAATTCTTTCAAAAATGAATATGTACCCTGGAATATTTTCAGGATCCTACTTAATATTTATAACAGTAACAACACTTCACCCATACTTTCTTGAAATTCCAGCTTCATAAACATCATTCTATCCACTACTTTAATGTCCCAAATCTGAATTTTGCCTTCCCAAATCATTATTCAACATTAAAATGTATTAAAGAATGAGTACCCAATTAATTTCAACAACTCTTCCTAATCTGTAGAATTTTCCAGAATTATAAATATTTAAAGCATTAACTCAATGCTAACCTTTCCTAGCGTATCCACAAAATTTTCATCAATTTCTAGCTTCAAAAGTTTCAGATTCTCACACGCATAACCAGCCACACACACACATATATATATAAATCTATCCACAAACTTTTTGACCATCTCCCTTTCCACTAAATCCAACGGGCCCACCTCTCTTACATGACAATTTCACTTTCAACTACAACATATTCATACAGATACAAACTTCCAAAATATTCATTTATGTCTTCCCTTTGGGCTTTAATCATCTCTCTTCCTCTCCTACATATCACGCTACATTGAACAGAAAATCTGAAAATTTTTCCAGATACCAAGTGTACTTCCAAACCAGTCACCGAAATCTCAAAAAGAAAGAGTAAACGTCATGCCATCGTGTATATACATATATATATATATATATATATACACACACACATCACAACCTCATCTTCTCTTTCATAAAACCTAACGCTCACACCAGAAAAGCAGAACAGGGGCTCGGTTCAAACATTCCAAAAGCAAATCAACAACATATACAACCCCATAACTTACTTGATCAAGCCTCTATCTACACTTTACTACTTTTGTTACATTTAGATACTGATTTTTCCTCCATAACCGAGAGTTTTAAATTGTCATTTCCTCTTCTAAAGTTGCAACGGTTGAGAGAAAGAAGAGTAGGAGAATGTTCACAAGGCTTACCTTGCTTGATTTCCTCCTTTGAACGAACCGATCTTCTCCTTCAATCACCTCCTCTTCTTCCTCGTTCTTCCCCTAATCCACCGACTCTCTCTTGCTCTGTTTCAGTCGTGTAGCAGGGGAAAATAAGAAGGGAGAAGATATTAGGGTAGAATAAGTCGGTGAGGGCGTGTGAAATAACTATTATACCCTTTGGTCTTCATTTTCCCTTCAATTTGATCCTTCTCTATTTTTCCAGGATAATCAGATAATTCCAGAAATCAAACCTGGTTATTTTATATGGATTTTCTTCTTCCATTAGCTTCTTTAGTCCATGAAATAATTTTCCTAAAAATCTCAGCTCAAAAATTATCCTCTAACTATTTTTCCTTGAATTTCCAAGAAAATAGGTCCTAAATTCTTGAAATTAACTTTATAATTATTTAGACCATATTTTAAAGGTCTTAATCTCAACAATTTCTCTAAAAATTTCTCCTTCATCATGCTTTACTCAAATCCATAAAATTTGGGATATTACAATTCTCCCCCCGTAAAATAAATTTCGTCCTCGAAATTTAAAACGTACCTTGAAGCATAAAATCTGGGTATTGTGCCTTCATGTCCTCCTCTAATTCCCAAGTTGCTTCTCTAGGAGTCAATCCCTTCCAAACCACTTTCACATATGGTATACTTTTATGCCGGAGTCGTTTTTCCTGATGATCAATAATCCGTTCTGGCTTTACTTCAAAGGTTAGATCATCTTGTACACCTATCTCTTCATGTTCAATTATATGTTTAGGGTCTGGTTGATACTTCTTCAACTGAGAGACATGAAGACATTATGTAACTTACTTAATTGCGGAGGCAAAGCTATTTGATACGCCACTGGTCCAACTTTACCAAGAATCTCAAATGGACCAGTGTATTTGGGCTTAGTTTCTTCGTCTTCATTGCTCGCCCAATGCCCGTGATCGGTGAAATTTTGAGGAATACATGATCTCCGACTTCAAATTCTAATGGTCTCCTTCTCTTATCAGCATAGCTCTTTTGTCTGCTTTGAGCAGAAAGCAGTCTTTTTCTAATAATTTTGATCTGCTCTGTGGTTTGATCAACTAATTCCGGACCATACAACCTTCTCTCCCTTAGCTCAGTCCAGCACAATGGAGATCGACACCTCCTTCCATACAGTGCTTCATATGGCGCCATCTGAATACTCGCGTGATAGCTATTATTATATGCAAACTCAGCAAATGGCAAGATATAATCCCAGTTTTTCTTAAAATCCAAAACACAAGCTCTCAACATATCTTCAAGTGTTTGGATAGTTCTTTCTGTTTGACCATCAGTTTGAGGGTGATAAGCTGTGCTAAATTTCAGTTGAGTGCCCATAGCTTCATGAAGAGATCGCCAAAACTTTGAAGTAAATCGTGGATCCCTATCTGATACAATGCTAACTGGTACACCATGGAGTTTGACTATCTCTTTAATATATACATGTGCTAGCCTCTCTAAGGTATAGTTAGCTTTAATTGCAAGAAAATGAGCAGATTTTGTTAAACGATCAACTATCACCCAAATGGTGTCATACCCAGCCGCTGTTCTTGGCAAACCTCCAACAAAGTCCATCGTCACACTTTCCCACTTCCATTCTGGAATCTCTAGTGGTTGTAAAGGTCCCGGAGGTTTCCGATGCTCTATCTTAATCTTTTGGCATGTGAGGCAGCGAGCTACATACTTTGTGACATCACTTTTCATTCCTGGCCACCAATATAATGACTTCAAATTGTGATACATCTTTGTCATGCCCGGATGAAGGGTATATCTACTTTTATGTGCCTCATCGAGAATTCTCCGTCTAAGTTCAGCCTTCAGTGGAATATAAACTCTTCTCTTGTATCTAACCAGCCCACTAGGCGAAAAATCATAATCTTGTGTCTCTCCTTTTTCAATTTTAATCTTGATTGATCTCGCCAAGTCATCTTGTTCCTGAGCTGCTTCTATTTCATCTCTCAAGTCACTTTCCACTTGAGTGGCACCATAACCTGCTAATATCATCTGATTTGACAGATTAAAATCTCTAAATTTCTCCAATAATTCTTGTTCCTCAATCATTAGAGCTGCCACTTGCACTGTTTTTCTACTCAGGGCATCAGCGACAACGTTTGCTTTGCCCGGATGGTATTTGATTTCATAATCATAATCTTTCAATAGTTCCATCCACCTTCTCTGCCTCATGTTCAATTCTTTTTGGTCTTGTAAATACTTGAGGCTCTTATGGTCACAGTATAATTCTATAGTTGCTCCGTAGAGATAATGTCTCCATATCTTGAGAGCAAACACTATTGCTGCTAGCTCTAGATCATGTGTAGGATAATTCTCTTCATGAGGTTTAAGTTGTCGGGAGGCATATGCTACCACTCTGCCTTGTTGCATCAAGACACATCCCAAACCATGTTTACTTGCATCACTATAGACTACATAGGTCTGTTTGGGATCAGGAATAATCAGGACTGGAGTGGACGTGAGCCTTTTCTTTAACTCTTCAAAACTGGCCTCACACTTATCATCCCATACAAAGGGTTGGTTCTTTCTAGTGAGCTTAGTCAGCGGTAAAGCAATCCTGGAGAAATTCTGGATAAATCTTCTATAGTAACCAGCTAAACCCAGAAAACTTCTTATTTCTGTAACCGTTTCAGGCTTTTTCCATTTCAGCACTGCTTCCACTTTACTAGGATCTACTGCAACCCCATCACATGAGATAACATGGCCTAAGAATTTAACTTCTGTAAGCCAAAATTCGCATTTACTGAGCTTAGCATATAACTGCTTCTTCTCAAGAATTTCTAAGACAATTCTCAAATGTTCCTCATGTTCTTTTCTATTCTTGGAGTATATCAAAATGTCATCAATGAACACCACCACAAATTGATCCAAATACTGTCGAAAGATTCGGTTCATGTAATCCATGAATACTGCCGGTGCATTAGTCAGTCCAAATGGCATCACCAAGAACTCGTAATGCCCATACCGAGTTCTAAAAGCAGTTTTTGGTATATCTTCTGCTTTCACCCGTAACTGATGATAACCCGATCTAAGATCAATTTTGGAGAATACACAAGAACCTGCCAACTGGTCAAGTAAGTCATCTATTCGAGGAAGTGGGTACTTATTCTTGATAGTCACCCTATTTAATTCCCTGTAATCAATGCATAATCGGAGGCTTCCATCTTTCTTCTTCACAAATAACACTGGAGCACCCCATGGCGAAACACTGGGTCGTATAAACCCTTTTTCTAGTAACTCCTCTATTTGTTTCTTCAGTTCTACCATTTCATTAGGAGCCATACGGTACGGGGCTTTTGAAATTGGTCCTGCTCCAGGTATTATATCAATTGCAAATTCCACTTCCCTTTCAGGGGGTAACCCACTTATGTCATCAGGAAATACTTCAGGAAATTCCCTAACCACAGGTATCTCATCTAAATTTACTGTTGCTTCTGCTTGTAATGAGAAGAAAACCATGTACCCTTGACACCTTTCTGTAACCACTTTTCTGCTTGAGTTATAGAGATGAAGTTTAACTCAGGCTCTATTTCATTAATCTTTTGGGAATTAGGAAACACAAGCCTTTTATTTCCACAGTCAATCAATGCATTATTAGCTGATAGCCAGTTGAGACCTATAACTATATCCATATTTTGGAATGGCATACAGATAAGGTCTATGACTGTATCATTTTGCTCATACTGAATTAAACAATTTAAACAAACACTAGCAGTAATAACTTTAGCACCCGTGGGCGTTGACACAACCAAGTCATAAGGCAATTTATCAACCTTTAACCCTAGTCGTCTAGCACATTCATAAGCAATAAAAGAATGACTAGCACCAGAGTCAAACAATGCTTGCACTAAATTGCCATTAAGTCGAATTGTACCTTGGATCATATTTGGAGACTTGCGAGCATCCTCATGAGTCATAGCAAAGACTTTACCTTGATTCCTGGGCCTGAACTCCTCCATTTTTTGCCCACATTCTCGAGCAAAGTGACCAGGCTTTCCACATCTATAACAAACATTGGGCCCAAACCAACATGGCCTGTTCCCATGGTTTCTGCCGCAGTAAGGGCATTCTTTCACTTCTGCAACTCTTTGGGATCCTGGCTTCTTTGGTTGATTCATTCTTTTTGCATTTCTCCTATCCCAAGGAGTCGGATTACTTCTCTTCCTTGATGGTCCTTCAGAAGCTTCTGGCTTACTATAGCCTTTGATCACATTTTGAGGTTGCAGGTTACTTTCAGTGATTCTGCATACCTCCACTGCTGTGTCAAAATGAGCAAGCTGCATAGGAGCTAGCTTTTCTCTCAAAATAGGCTTCAATCCACGAATCAATTTCCCAGTACTCCAACGTTCATTATTTCGCTCTTGTAGTTGTGTGGAATACCGGGACAATCGAATGAACTTAGCTAGATAATCATCAAATGATTCATTTTCAGCCTGTGCCAGTGTCAGGAACTCAGCTTCTTTGCCATCTCTAATTGACTGAGGGAAATACTTCTCATTAAATTTCTCTTTAAACACTTCCCATGTAAGTGGAACGTTCCTAGCTTGCAAAAGCAGTTCGGTATTTTTCCACCATCTATCTGCATCACCTTCTAGCTTATATATTGCCATTTGAGCTTTTCTTTCAGTAGAGCACTCCATAACTCTGAAAATCTTCTCCAATTTCATTACCCAATCCTCAGCTGCTTGTACATCAAATTTGCCCATAAATGATGGCGGTTGATGCTTACAGAACCTGGAAATCCAATATTGTAGACTTTCTTGCTCTGCAATTGGTCTTTCAGAAGCCACTTCAGGGACCAGCTGGGTCTTGTCGTGGTTGTAATTCGGGTTGTTGTTGTAAGCCTCCAATAGGAATATCATTCCTATTCTTTTCTTCTCTTTCTTGGTCCTGTCTAGCCTGATTCTCTCTAATTTCATTTATCATTTGCTGTTGTTTATTAAGTCTGTCCAATATTTGCTGTAGAGGGTCAGGTGGGGGTCTGTTTTCATCAACTCGACCTCCACTTCTGCCTCCTCTGAGTATAACCATCTTTTACTGATCATGAAATAAATCATAATCAATAATAATAGTAACACTAAATTTCCAATTTAAAATCACAGGCAGACAGTTGTAAAATAATGGTAGGAATCAAATTCCTAACACCACAATATATGCACCTTTGTTACAATTAACCATAACAAGATTATGTATCTCAAGCGAGCAGAGCATTTTGACCTCTTGCCAGAACCTCCGCTCTGATACCAAAAATGTAACACCTATCCCTTATATACTAGTAGAATTATTCTATTTAATCATGATCCATTAAAAGCCAGGTTTCAATCCTGGGAATTTTATATATTGTTATTTCCATCCGGCCCTTCGAATCCTGAATTAAGTCAACTATAGCCAATAGGGTTTAACATTTGACACCCTGGCCATTGGCTCACACGACGAGATACGTAATTAGATACACATAATTTTAGGCCAAATAATAATTATATCAAAAAATTTGACCATTTCCTTCAATAGCAGTCATTATGATCTATCTGCCCTTAGTCATCTCCTTATGGAGGAATATTTACATACCAAAATAGATATACAATATATATCTTTACTCCAAAATAAGATGCATTTTAAACAAAATATATATGTACAAATGATCGCCAGCTTCCTGCACTTTTAAACTCCACCGATCACTACTCCCTTGCCCTTAGGAGTACTTGCTCTTGCTGTATTACATGGAAGAAGGGGTGAGATTCTAAAGAATCCCAGTAGTAACAAATTTCCCTCACGTAATCATACAAGATCACAAACAACATGCTACACAGGCCAAAGAGAACAACACCTTGCATCCAAGTATAATCAATGATGCATATACACCATACACCCATATAGCTAATCGCTATCTATCGCGCCCACATTCCAAAATAAATGGAAACCAGCGCATATTGTCATGACAAATATTATTATGCAAAGGCAACTTACATGTTCTCATGCACAATCAGCATAAAGGCACATCCAAGCATGTGGCAATCAATGCACAATCACATTAAAGGAAAAGAGTTACTACCTTTTGCTTTTTCTTCTGTACTAACTTCCCCTTGCTTCTTCCTTGGCTCCCTTCTTAATGGACTTGAACAAATATCAAATCCTATAATTTATATGGGGAGTGGTAGATTAATATATATATATATATATACACACACATATATAAGTATATGTAAAGTAGATTATTTATTCCAATTCTTTCAAAAATGAATATGTACCCTGGAATATTTTCAGGATCCTACTTAATATTTATAACAGTAACAACACTTCACCCATACTTTCTTGAAATTCCAGCTTCATAAACATCATTCTATCCACTACTTTAATGTCCCAAATCTGAATTTTGCCTTCCCAAATCATTATTCAACATTAAAATGTATTAAAGAATGAGTACTCAATTAATTTCAACAACTCTTCCTAATCTGTAGAATTTTCCAGAATTATAAATATTTAAAGCATTAACTCAATGCTAACCTTTCCTAGCGTATCCACAAAATTTTCATCAATTTCTAGCTTCAAAAGTTTCAGATTCTCACACGCATAACCAGCCACACACACACATATATATATATAAATCTATCCACAAACTTTTTGACCATCTCCCTTTCCACTAAATCCAACGGGCCCACCTCTCTTACATGACAATTTCACTTTCAACTACAACATATTCATACAGATACAAACTTCCAAAATATTCATTTATGTCTTCCCTTTGGGCTTTAATCATCTCTCTTCCTCTCCTACATATCACGCTACATTGAACAGAAAATCTGAAAATTTTTCCAGATACCAAGTGTACTTCCAAACCAGTCACCGAAATCTCAAAAAGAAAGAGTAAACGTCATGCCATCGTGTATATACATATATATATATATATATATATACACACACACATCACAACCTCATCTTCTCTTTCATAAAACCTAACGCTCACACCAAAAAGCAGAACAGGGGCTCGGTTCAAACATTCCAAAAGCAAATCAACAACATATACAACCCCATAACTTACTTGATCAAGCCTCTATCTACACTTTACTACTTTTGTTACATTTAGATACTGATTTTTCCTCCATAACCGAGAGTTTTAAATTGTCATTTCCTCTTCTAAAGTTGCAACGGTTGAGAGAAAGAAGAGTAGGAGAATGTTCACAAGGCTTACCTTGCTTGATTTCCTCCTTTGAACGAACCGATCTTCTCCTTCAATCACCTCCTCTTCTTCCTCGTTCTTCCCCTAATCCACCGACTCTCTCTTGCTCTGTTTCAGTCGTGTAGCAGGGGAAAATAAGAAGGGAGAAGATATTAGGGTAGAATAAGTCGGTGAGGGCGTGTGAAATAACTATTATACCCTTTGGTCTTCATTTTCCCTTCAATTTGATCCTTCTCTATTTTTCCAGGATAATCAGATAATTCCATAAATCAAACCTGGTTATTTTATATGGATTTTCTTCTTCCATTAGCTTCTTTAGTCCATGAAATAATTTTCCTAAAAATCTCAGCTCAAAAATTATCCTCTAACTATTTTTCCTTGAATTTCCAAGAAAATAGGTCCTAAATTCTTGAAATTAACTTTATAATTATTTAGACCATATTTTAAAGGTCTTAATCTCAACAATTTCTCTAAAAATTTCTCCTTCATCATGCTTTACTCAAATCCATAAAATTTGGGATATTACAGGTGGATACTACTGGCAAAAGTGATTAATCAGGTCCATATCCGCCCTACTCTTTGGCTTACTTTTATTCTATGTTTATGATGAATATCGTTACTGTTTGTGTTTATTTCTCGTCGTGTTTCAAATAGTCATTCATATGTTTCCTTTTGTCTTCTTTATTTGTCTCCATCTGCCCGCTTCGTACTTGATTTTTGTGATCATCACTAATCTTGCACGCTCATGTCAGTTTCTGAATGCCTCCCAATAAAAGCAATTAATGTTCCAATAACTGGCATTTTGTTTGTTATAAATTATATCGAATATCATAAATAAATCTCAACGAAGGGAAGCCAAGTTGTAGGATATAACCTCATCATCTCTTAATTTTTATTTCATCTGAATGTTCGAAGTGCGCACCAGCACTACTACTCAATCCGGAATATTAATCATTGTGAATATATCTTATCTCCTAAGTTGCTAATGATATTGTCAATTATTCAATCAGTTACAAAGTATATATTTTTGCAAAGTTGTTTGTGGCATGCATGCTTCTCAATTATTCTAATTCTTTTTTGTAATGTCATATGCAGGATACGGTTTTTGCTTTGTGGGATGCCGAAAGTGATCAGGCCTAGCATCCTTTAACCCATCATTTAAGAACTGCTTTTGATTCTATATTTATACTGTCTGCTTCTATATTTGTTCAACTACACCATTTTAATCGATACATTTATGATGAAACTAAGTTTATAATGCAACTACTTACTTGTTTTAACTAAACTGTTTGTTGGAAGAATGACACGAACACTTATTCAAGGGAATTATTTATATTGAATGACTCGAGGACTTGCTCAGGGGATTTGTTTACAATGAACTCAAGTTGAATTATATTGGCAAATTTACATATAAACTCTGAATAAGGGACTTGTTTATGAATAAAACGTTGCAGAGTTTACTAAAATAATTTCGAGTATCTTAAGATTGGTTGTCCTCAGTTTCTATTTGTAGGACAACATTTTCGAGAGAGGTTCGTTTCTAATTATAATACAAATCAGAAATTTGGGAATTATTTAATACTTTTTCTTATTAGTGACTTGAGGGAGAAAATGTGGCTCGTCATAAAGGTTCATATATCGTAATTAGATTGATCTGGCATTGTTTATAATTTATCTCTTTACAAATTAATATAGCTCTGGAGAGGTTTATATGTGCACCGGTAGCTTTATAAGACAAATTACAAAATTTGAGAATTATTTAATACTTTTTTATTAGTGATCTGGGGAAGAAAAAATTAGCTTCGAATTTTGATCAAGACTTGAGTAGGTTTAAAATTCTTGGGATATTTTAACCCAATAACACTAATCACCTCTTTAAATTTTTCACATGTGTGAATTTATGAATTTGACTTTCTACGGATATGATTGGTGCCTGAATTCCCTCGATGAATAAGGATGCAAAAAAAGAAGAGAGAAAAAAGGAGGATAGGTTTAAGCTGATAAGAAAAAAAAGGTTAAAACACAGAGGATGTGATGCAAAAAGTTGACGATACGGGGTTGTAAAATATTTAAACTTATACTCTCGAGTGGTTGAAAATAAGAGACGTGGTTGGCCAAAAAGAAAATAAGAGAGTCGTGGCGTCCGATTGGAATAACCAGCTCAATTATATTTACTGTGACATTAATAGGTGCGCTAACAATTAACTGGAAAAGTATAATTGTAATACTCCCTCCGGTTCTAAATATAAGACCATTACCGGAGGAGAATTATATTTGAGGACAATTTTGCCAAAAAAAGAACTGTTTATTTTTATTTAATTGTTATCGTTTTAAATAAAGTAATTTATTTTTATTTGTTATTTTTATATTATGCATTGTTATATTTGCAGTGAAACCATTTATTCAATTCTCATTTAGTTGTCAACGTTTTTTTTGTTTAAGGGACCATTTAAATCTTATATGCATTAGGTTGCACATAATTTTCAACATTTGAAAAATAAGTACTCAAATTAAAAATAAAAATTGACTGTAAACGTTTAAAATTTTTATGTCACAAATTTAAGAAAATGCCCATGGCATATCTATTCTTCACGGTACTATATGTTAACTATGAATGCCAGCCATACAGTACAAATAGCTGACCTTGAGGAAAAATCATAATGTATTTGTAGTTGAATTATTTTCAAAGTTACGGTTTAAAATGTGTAATCAAATTAAAAAAATAAACGAAAGATGCCATATAAATGGTACCAGAAAGAAAGAAAGAAACAGAATTTATCTTTTTTGAGAATAATGATGTGACAAGAACTGAATATTAATTATAATTATAAATGGATAAAAAAACGGTATTGTTTTATTTAAATATAATATGTTTTATATAAAATTGGAAAACAGGCGTGAGAACATTTAAGTTTTTAAAGAAAATAGGCATACACCAGCACCCCACGTGTGACTCTGTTTCCAGCAGGCTTGCATTATCTTCACTTTATAAAGTAAACCAAATTATGTAATTCAACATCAGTCAACATGTTGAAGACGACAAATCAATCAGACACTGAAAGGCAATATTGGGCTTTTATCAATTCATATTTTAGTAGCAACCCGCACCATTAGAGATAGAGATCTTTCTTGTTATATACATACACACATATCTAAATTGCCATTGCTTGCATGGGAAGTAGCAGAGAGTTAAGTTTGTGAATTGAAGGAAGAGAGATTTGAGATTGCAGCAGAGAGAGAGAAGAGAGATGGAAGGAAGTAAAAATGGTGAAGTGAGAAGGATTCGTATAGTGTACTTCCTCAGTTTGATGGGTCAAAGAATCTCATCTCATGCGCGTTCATCATTTGGCTTGTAATTGAGTCCATCTTTGAGGTGATTTAACTTCTTTGTTTCATTCACCACATTCCCATGAAGTTTCTTGCACATTGATGTTAGATTTTAAGAAAGTTGTTCTCACTTTCAATCTCTGTATTTAGCACTCTGTTTCTCACTTGCACATGACATAATTTGATGATTCTCACTTCCAATGTTGTATTCTTATCTCTTCTGTCTTTTAATACTCCGTTTATTTAAGGTTTCGGACTTGTCTTACAAACATGAAAACCACATTATTTAGTGTTTTTTTCAAGTCAAGATTTAGTTGAAACAAATAGATAAAAATGGCATGAATTGGGAAGATTGTGGTTCTTTTAGATGGTGGGATTACAAATTATGCGCTCCTCTATCTCTGTGTAGTTCCCTGTTTCTGATTTACATGGTTCATGATTTATGGACTTTATGCAATAAAAGATGTGAATAGGTGGATTGGGGAAGTGAGACGGAAGGATTTGGCAGAGACATATGCATGGTCCTACAAGAGGTAGAATGAATGGCATCTTTTATACTCTGTTTTTTATTTTTTATTTTTTATTTTGGTTTGAATGAGCTGAAGTGTGTGATTTGTGGATTCAAATTGGGAGCAGGAGATACAAGATAGGGTACGTGTGGCAAGACTTGTTGGATGATGATCTCATTACTCCAATCTCTAATAATGAATACGTCCTCAAAGGATCTCAATCCAGCCTCCCCTCTTTTGGTATGTCCTTCAAATGAAATAATGGAGTATTGTCATTTGGTAATATTTTGGAGGGGGGAATATATAAGTACTTATTTGTTGAGAAGCCTCTTTGATTATGCAGAAACTTTTATGTTTTGTGAAAGGAAAGCTTCCATATTGAACGAGGAGATTCCTGTTCAAGTATCTGATACGAAGGGCAAACAGCTGAAGCAGAAGCAACCACTAATACCAGAAGAACTTCAACTTGAAAGATTTCCATATTTCAAACCAAGTTCTCTAGATCAGCTATCATCCGAAATAAGCTCTGATAGGTCCAGATTGGCACGTGAAACTGAATCTTGTAAATTTGAACCAGATAAACTTGTGGACACAAGTAAACACAACCTAGACACATCAATTTCAATATCATTATCATCATCTTCTTCGTCATCATTCTCTCCCTTGAAAGGAAGTAAGAGATTTTCAATAGCAGCTTTTCGTTTCTTTCGCAACCTTTAAAAGTTTATTTTTAGCCATTTAACTCTAAAATTATTAATCTTAAATAATAATTTTTTTTGTAATAATTATGGTTGTTTTGAAAATGAAAGTTAATACAGTAGCATGTGAGAATATTTTTATCAATATTCAATATCTCAAATTCTCAATATCATCGTTTTTGTTGACAATTTTATAATTAAAAGACTAAAAATAGACTTTGTACTTAAAAATATGAGTGAAATTGGTTGCCCTGTTTTTTATTTTTTTTTCTTTCCATATTCTACTAGAGGCAGTAGTTATAAATAAGGATGAACAGACGTGATATTTGTAGTGAATGAATAATTGAATAATATTAAGTGTTTATATTTATGGGTGTCAAGTGACAGCAGATATATATAGATTAAACTGGCTGGGCAAAGTGAGTTTAGTTGGTCTAAACATGAGAAAGTTATTGGGAAGACTAGAGAGTTGGTGAAAGAATTTGAGATAAGCACATAAAAAAAATACTCTCTCCAGTCTTAAATATAAGAGTCATTTTATAATATAAAAATTACACATAATGATAATCAAAGCTGAAGCCGCTTCACATACATTAAATCACCATTAAAAAAACCAATAGGGAAGAAAACAGAAAGAGAACCATAATGATGAGAGAGATGGAAGAAAATATATTCAGAAAGGGGATCACGTAGGGAAGAGGATTCTCTTCCCCTCCTCTTCCTTTTCTTCTATTTTGATTAACATCTTAACAGTTAAATTTATTATTTTATGGAACTATTATTGTAATAGTACATGATAAATAAATAAATTGAAATTATTAAAATGTGGTTTGACTAGTTGAAAACTGCCAAAAAGCATAAAGTATGAAAAAAAAAATCACATTATAAAGGGAAACAAATCTTTGGAGAGGGGAGAGAGTGTACACAAATCATGTATATGATTGTTTAGCAAGTTCTAGTATCTATTTACACGGTTCAATCTAGAGGAAGGGATTAGTTTCTCGTAACATAGTAAATCAAGGTCCAAATCATTATTTAAAAGAAGTTCACATTGAGTACCCGATAATGTCTTAAGTATGATTGTCTCTATTATGAGAATATCTATGTTTAGAGGGGGAGAAAAATCTGCATCCACTTCTTTCCTGGCCGGCTGCTTTTCTCCTAAGCTCAAGGTATCAGGCCCCCTAGTGCCCACTTCTTAGCGCAGGGCCACGATAATATTAAGCAGTTTCATTAAAGATCCCTAGTTGTTTAATTATGCGTTTTCTAATTGCTCACCAATTTATTTATTTAACTTGTGGTAACCAAAATATGGACGGTGATGGAATTACGTGGGAGGACATGAACGGATTTCAAATAACAACCAGGCTACGGGCCACTCTGACAACAATCCGCCTTTCTCATCCATGCACCATGCTAAAAACCACACTCAGTAATGTAGACGGCAATAACTCGGCGTACTCTTCCAGTCTTATTTATAAGTCAGGGAAGAAAGATATTTTTCGATTATATTCTTAATTCGGTTTTTTAATACTCTTTTGGTCCTTAATATAAGACCTAATGATTGAGTTGATTTTAGTTCTAAATATAAGACCTATTTCTCATATTTATCAATTTTTTCTAAATTATCCTTGTAGAGACTCCCTCAACCATAATCAATTAGAAGAAGGAGAGAGGATTTAAGGAGGATGATTATGGTATTTTAGGAAAAACATGTCGTATTTCTTACAATTAACTAACTTACCTAACTTTCTTAATCTAATCAATTTAGTTGAACAATTTTACCGCTCATTTTTTTGGGAGTGAATTTTTACCTCTCATTTATCTATCTTCTCCTTTTTTGTTACTGAAATCTCATAATACCCTTGAAGCTAAAATGGGTCGGGTGCAATTGAAATGGGTGAGTTGCATTATTCATTATTAGTGTGATGCCCATCCATTTAATGACGGCTTCCTTCCATTTGAGTAAACAACAAAACTTTCATGCTATAATAAACATTTCCTTCTATTATTGTCTTGATTACGCAGCTCACTTTAGAATGATTGCAAGTATTCACAGGAGATTTTTAATATTTTAAACCAATAACTAAATTTACTAAATAAATATGTGGTTATTTAATTTAATTAATAAAGCAAAACAAGTTTTTATAGTGAGTATCCAAAAGTTTTTTTGATCAACATCTTTATTTTTCTCTAATTGAATCCTGACAAAATATATCTTAATATATAAATCAGAACTATAAATATAGAATAATGTATTATTATAAAGGTAGTCCTACAATTTTGCTTTAAAAAAAATGATATAGAGTAATATGCACCCATCCGTGGTGGAGAATATTCTAGTTATTGTGTAAACTGTACTCCTCTATATGGGTTGGCAAAAAAGAAAAAGAAAAGTACCTTATTCCTATGAAGTATATTGTATATTAAACAAAGATGAAATTAGAAAATTGTTAAATTCTAAAACAGAATTAATGAGATCTAAAGATTTTTTTTTTTTTGGTGAATGGATTTCTAAGTTTTAATTCTGCATAATGGAAGCAACTGCAAATCCGATCACTAAACCACTGCAAGGATGGAGAACCGACGGTGGCGCAAGGATGGAACGAGCGTCTTGCTTCCGAACCAACGAGCTGTGATTGGTCGCGAAAGAACTGCTCTGACTTTGCCGGAGAACTGCGACTGCTTGCAGACTTACAGCAGCATCTCCAAAATTTAACTCTATTAACTGTAATTGTGACACAGGCAAAGCTAAATTTTATCAACGTATAGGAAGGAGAAATAATAACTTTTTGTTTAAAGTTCGAACTCATAATTTCACGCTTTACAAAAATTTTAGGAAGATGTTTGATGTTATTGGACTATAAAACCCAGCAAATTATGATCACTGAAGTCATGGAAACACAATTACAAAGTAATCAAACTTGGATATTTCATTATTAGACAATGTTTCAATATTATCAAAGGATAATCAAACTTGAAAATTATCCATATTCATGTTCTTTGTTACTTTTCATCTCTTTGTCCATATTCTATGTTAAAGTTGTACTATCTTCACTATTTAATATAAAAGCTAATTTGACTTTTAATTTGGTCCTACATATAAAATCTTAATCCACTTTGACTCTCATATTTATCTATTTTTTTCAAAGTAGTCATTGCAGTACATGTTAAAGATTCCATCAAATGGTAGTTCTAGCTAATATATATGATTAACAAGAGTATTTTAAGAAAAATAACATCTTTTTCATATAAATGACTAATTTAATAAACTTTTTAAATCTATTTAAATTAGTCAATTAGCTCTTATATAAAACACAGGAGAAATTCATTTTGCATTCGTTAATTATTATCAGGCAATGAATTGACTTGCACTATTTTGTTATTCAGTACTACCTCCAATATCTCAGTCGTCCGCCATGCTTCGATCCTCAACTTGAAATTAGCGTTCAGTAATTTTCTCTTTTTACTCTGCTTTTCCGTTTCATTATTATTATGTGACCTCATTTTCATCTTCGTTTGTTGTTGTTTCTGCTTCTGCCTTTGCATAATTATTCATCCTCTACTTGGTCGATCTCTGAAGCTTCTCTGCGCACAATAATCTTCATCCCTTCATTACTTTGCTCGATCAAATTGCATGCATATTAAGGAAAGGTAGATGATTTTGTATGTGCGGGAAAAGTAGATTAGATTTATTGGCGAAAACTCAACCCCCAAACTGTGGAACAGTATATATGACTTCAATTTTAATTATTATCACTTTGGTTCAGTCTCTGTATATAGATTGCATATGCAGGAACAGTAATAATGAACAAGGTAGGTGGTGGAAGGCCAAAGGATGATGATGTGCGGCGACACGTTGAGGTATTGGAGGAAGGACGAAGATGGAAGTGTCAATATTGTGAACGGGAATTCGCAGGAGGTGCTAGCAGAATCGGATCTCATATTTATGGAGAAAAAGGCAAAGGCATTCGAGTCTGTTTAAAATTTGTTTCAGACAAAGGAAACTCCAATGATCTCAGAGACAACCTCCAAGATTGTCACCAAGGAGGTTACGTGATTATATATTATTATTCTCCCTCCTATCTTTTTCATAAGTCATTCAGAGGGGATTTTTTTCTTTTTGTTTTTTTGCCAGCCCTTTTTTAAAGATATCATATGTGATGTTTATTACATTCCTCCCACATTGCCGTTATTTAATGTTGACCCAATTATTTACAGTTACGCTATACCATAGGTTTAAATGAAGATAAAATCAATTAGATACTCCTTTACTTTTCAGACAGAGATGAAGAGTTTTAAATTTTAACTCTTCCCTTTGTTCTGGTAAATTTTTTTACAAGTCACCCTCAGGGAATTTTATTTCATTTTATTTATATTTTTTTCCTTATAAGAAATCTCACTGGACGGTATAATAGATTATAGCATGCCGAACGAAGCAGGACAAAGCCAAGCTGATGCCAAGTATCAGGAAGGGGTTCGAGTTGTTGGGTCTTCTTCAGTTTCCGATGGGGAGAATGAAGACTTGAAGGTTATACAATATGTGTTTGAATGCTTAAGGTTAGATTCATACTTCTGACTGTATATGGGCTTCTAATATGTATAGATGAATGTATTTTATTTTTTTGTTTTCTTTTTTCAAATCACTCTAATTCTATGTTTTGATAAATATATCATTTTAATTAATTCTTCAGTCCTGAAGATAAGGTTTTTGGTTCCCCACTTTCATATTTGTCTCAAGAAGAATTTGCCACGCTTAGACCAGGGGCTTTTTTGGATTCATTAGTGAGTATTTATTTATTATATTTTCATATTCTATTTTAATATTAATGGCAAAGGTTTTAGTTATATTAATAATATTCAATTTCATGCATTCTTAGGTAATAGATGTTTTTGTAGAGATGTTAACCCATATTGAGCGAAAGAAAATTACACCTTCGTATTGGTATCTTCCTGTGACATTTTCGGTGATTTCCTATTCCCTTCTTTGTTACTTCATACATGTCAATAGTTGTTTTCTAAAACTAGTTCATTGACAATAACTCTTAACGGTTCATCCGTTATGTAATCATAGGATGCAGCACTCAAAGGCAGAATAGGTCACTTCTTCGACTTTGTCCAACGCCAAAAAATAAGAGAAAATTATATGTCTGACCTAGAATTCTGTGAGAAGGTATGTCAGTCTTTTCAACTCTTTATAGAAAAGTTTCTTTGTCAACCTGATTACCTTTTTTTTCCTACTATATATATTAATTTAATTTTTGTTATCACAAATAATAGATATTTATTCCTGTTCACATTGGAGCAAAATCAAATGGTGGACATTTTTATTTATATGTTATCCATTTAAAGAATAAAGAGATTGAGGTATGGGATTCTCTGCTTGATACATTTGTGGTTGAAACAGAACGTAAGGAGACAACCAAAAAATTGGTGAGTGTTAGATAATTGCAATATTCAACACATTAATCGATCAACTATTCTTTTGATTATATAGAATTTTTTATTTATATCCAGTTGCTTGCCATGGAAAAGCTCTTCGAGAAAGTAGCATTTACGAAATTTCATTCCAAGATGGAAATCAACATCCTCGAACAGCCTAATGTGTGAGTGGACGATTATTATCCAAAATTATATAAACTTTACTAGAAAAAGTTCTTATGATGACCTTATCATATATATATATTTTTTAATTTGTAGATTTGACTGCGGTATCTTTGTTATTAAGTTCATGGAACAATCAGATAATTATGTGAAGAGAAATCCTTCATTTCAGGTATGACCTCTCACAAACACATATGTAAGCACTCACAAATGCCCGCACATAGTCCTACACGAGCACGCAAGCCCTCTCTTTTAGTCATATAAATGATCCGGACAATTACAGAAACTATGGAAAAACAAAACGAAAGTTATATATGAACAGCTTTTCTCTTTTTTCCATATGAATAGTCATATACGGACAATTATATGTAGTTTGACAGTGAAAGAGAAAGGGAGGATTTGGCTTTGAAGTTGCTCAACAGTGACCTGAACCAATAAAAACAAAATCTGCATGACAAAGCCAGACGGCACTATGCACAAGTTGAACAGCAAGATGGCAATAAAAGATCAAGAGTTGACAGAGTGAATAGACAAGATCGTTTAGAAGAAGGTATGAGTATCAGCATATAGAATTTATATCCAACTCCATTTATATGTCATTTATGAATTTGTTGAAGTTTGTAAACTCTTAAAAATTTTAATAACTTTTTTTTGGCCAAAAAAATTGTCATAACCTTAAAAAAAACTCTCATCAAATTGTAACCTTCTCTCGTATTTTCCTCTTGGCCACTCTCTTCTTCATAACTTTTTGATTATTTAATGAGGGAAAAGTGCGGAAAAGTATTTAATACCGCCTAAACTTTTTGGGAGAAAATTAGTAAAAAATCCCTGTTTGAAATTTTAATTGGCCAGAAGGACCTGTTGTGCAAGTGCAAGTATGATCCGCGAGCGCGCTCACGGATCATACTTGCACTTACACAATTCAGGTCCTTCTGGTCAATTAAAATTTCAAACAGGGATTTTTTTACCAATTTTTCCATTTTTTGGTGGCTTACATTTTCAATTCTTGAAATCTTCCAAAATGTGATTTACACATAGGGATGATGAGAGTATATATACAACGCTTAAAATTTGACTGCCATATTATCTAATTTAATTTTTCTTACTTTTCTCATTATCTTCACTTAATTATTTATTACTATTGTTTTGGCTAGGATCTTCCATAGATGATATATTGCCTACAACATATTTAATTGGGCGCAATTTTCAAAGTTATACTAAACGAATATGGGAGTGGATAATGGACGACAAGGTGTCAGCAATTGGCATTTGGGGAATGGGGGGTTCAGGAAAAACAGCCTTAGCAACGCATATTCATGACAAGCTTTTAGCAGAAGCCAATGGTGACATTAAAGTTATTTGGGCGACTGTATCACAAAATATCGACATCCACAAGTTGCAAAAAGTCATAGCTAAATCAATTAAGTTGGATATATCTGATGAGCCTTGTAAAAGAATTGCCATTATTTCAAGCATTCAAAGAGATGAAGAAGTGTGTTATTGTTCTAGATGATGTTTGGGATCATTTCTCTCTAAAGGATATTGGATTTCCTATGTCAAATAATCAAATTAAATTGATTTTGACCACCTGTATAAGGGAAGTGTGTCAAGGTATGGGTTGTAAGAAGGTAATAAAAGTGAAGCGTCTATATTTTGAAGATGGTTGGGATTTGTTTTTTGAGTCTTTGGGAGTATTCCCTGAAGAACTGTCTTCAAAAGTGGAAAACATTGCACTGATTGTGGCAGACGAATGTGAGGGTTTTCCCCTGGCTATTGTTAGAACCGCAACAAGCATGAAGGGGGAAACAAAAGCTGGAGAATGGAGACATATGTTGGAATGTCTTGAAAACCTGGGCAATGGGCAATATGAAATGGACAAATGGGTATTTCCAGTTTTGAGATCTAGCTATGATTTCTTAACTAACAAATTGCAAAGATTCTTCTTGTATTGCGTCTTAAGTACCAATAAAAAATTTAATTGGCAGATGGCTGATCATTTGATAAGAAGGTTTGTTTATGAAAGCATTGATGAGAGAAAGAAGTTGAGGTTGCAGTATAATGAAGGCCGGAAGATGTTGCATAAATTAAAGGGTCATAGCATGTTGGGTCCTTATGATGATGATGATGATGATGATGATGATGATGATTATGATTATGATTATTATTATTCTTATTATTTTGATTGTTGGATGACAGACAAATTCCTTAGGGTCCTGGCTATTGGTATTGTGGAAGAGACTAGTAAAATTATGAGAAAAGCTTATGAGCAGTTAACAGAAGTACCAAGTGATGACCAGTGGGAAGAAGATCTACAAAAAGTTTTTCTGACGGGAAACAACATACAAACAATTCCAGATGGCACATGTCCTAAGTGTTCTCAACTTTCGACGTTGCTTTTGGATGGTAATGTGAAACTCGGCTATATTGCAGATGAGTTTTTCAACAACATGCCTGCTCTTAAAATACTTGATTTGTCTAGGACAAGGATCAAGTGTTTGCCCGAATCGGTGTCTAAATTGGAATGTCTCATTGCATTATTACTTTCTGGATGTGTAGAATTGAGTTACATTCCTTCATTAAGAAAATTGAAAAGGCTAATATCATTGGATCTATCTTTTACTGCCATTACCAAAGCACCTGGGGGCTTGGAATCATTGGTTAATCTTAGATGCCTAAATCTACTCACTGAAGATAAGCTGGAAATGTCAGATTTGCTCCTATCCAAATTGATCAATTTAGAGTGTCTTAAGGTGGGTTGGGCCCAATGCTTAACGGATGCGACAGGACAAAGTACACAAGATTTGGAAAAGTTTAAAGTTATAGTAGCCTATTTTCGTGACATTGGCTATTTTAATGCCTTTGTGAAGTTCCCGCCCTTTAGGGATGCAATCAGAAGCTATTGCTTAACTTTAAAGGATAGTAGTTACAATCGCGACCCAAGTGATGGTCTTTTCGATAAAGATTATATTATTAACCATTCCAAGAAAAAGGTGGTCATTGAGGATATTTTTTTGGCAAATAAAAACGTAAGACTCCCTCCAGACATGAAGGAGTTGGATATCAGTGATTGTCACGGTTTAGAGTACTTGTGTTGTAGCAGTGGCCTCTCTTTCCCCTCCTTCCAACATGTTCAAACTCTACGCCTCTGGCGTTTATGGGGCTTGACAGATTTAGTGTCACCAAATGCTGATTTCTTGCATCAATCCACCCTATTTTCTCATCTCGCAGATCTTGAAATTGGGGGATGTAACAGCATGAAGACTCTGATGCCGTTTAAGTTATTAGCACTTCTCCAAAACCTGAGCACCATTTCCGTTAATAGTTGTGAGAAGATGGAAGAAATAGTTGGAGAGGATCATTCTGTAATGGAAGTTACTCATGGCGACGCCCTCATGGCCCTTCTGCATGACAACTTCTCTCACCCTACTATTGAACTTCCCATGTTGACATCTCTGAAATTAGATAACATGCCACAATTAGATGTTGTATATAGAGGCATCATGCTCTGCCCTTCTCTCCAAACATTCTCTGCTATTCAGTGCGAGCGACTAAGTCTCCCTCGAATGAATAATGGAACTGAGCTTCTGATAGGGCTGACCTCGGATGGGTGCTACTGGGAAAAGTGATTAATCAGGTGTATATCTGGTTTGACTTCCTTTTATATTATGTTGATGATGAATATACTTCATGAGCTTCTCCCTGATGACAAAGTGACGCAATTAGAATGCCTAAAATTAATTAATTATATTAGACCCAAGGAATCGTTTGTTACGAGGTTGAGTTGCAAAGTTGTTTGTGGTATGCCTCTCAATTTTTCTAATTCGTTTGGTAATGTGATATGCAGGACATGGTTTTTGCTGTGTGTGACACTGAAGATGATTGGACCTGACATCCTTTAAGTCATCATTTAAGAACTGCTTTTGATTTTATATTTATGTTGTGTGCTTCTATATTTGTTCAATTACACTATTTTAATCGGTACATTTATGATAAAACTAAGTTTGTAATGCAACTGCTATTTTATGGGTACGCTCCATTTACGTAAAAATTGAGTTTCTCAATGTGAATTAGTTTCAAAACCATCTAACTTTCAACATGAATTTTCCCCCTAATTTTTCCAATATAATTTTACACATTGAAATGAATAATCAAGTGGAAAAAAGTCATTTAATAGGGTTAATCACTAGCCAAGTTCACCTAATCAGACAAGACATTGAGATGCAAGCTCTTTAGTTATCAACTAGATGAATAATCATGCTCACCGAACTAAACACGATGAAGGTAGACTTGACAGTGGGTGACAGCGCGATGAGTGGCAAGGGGCACATTGAGGGAAGCTAGTAGTGAGAATGAGAAGCAATAGGTGTGAGGTAGAGACGGAGTCATAGAGACGAGGAGCAGAGCAGAATATCATAGCCAAAGAGGTGAGATGCGACAGAGTTGTGCGAATGAAAAAAAACCATCACATTTTCCTTTAATGTTTTCTTTCAAATGAATAAGGGTAATTTTGTGATTGCACAATTAAAATCTCTCACAATTAAGTCTCTTGGGACTTTAGATTTATTTTAACATTTTCAGGGGCTTTATAGTGATTAAATTTCTTGCTTGTGACTCTACAGTAATTTCCCCTTATTTCTAAGGGTTGGGTTTATAAATTTATAATATACTGAAATAAAATAAGAGTACTTTGGTAAAAAAAGAAATAAAATAAGAGTATGAAATAAATAAATAAATATATGGTTGAATTTTATGACTTTGGTAAGTTTATTATTCAGAAAGCCTAAATTAAAAATGATGGAAAAATAAATTATTTAGTGTTGGTCATTAATTTAATTTGATTAACTAGAATTGTTTCTGACTTTGTAATTCTGATTAGTTTGAATTAATATGAATAAGTCTTTATTATTTCACTTAAAGAAGGATAATTATAGGATGTGGTGAGAGAGAATATAAGGAATTTGGTTAGGGGCAAAACAGTGTTTTTATTTTATATTTTAGTACTTAGTCCTTTCCAATAAATATTATCTATATTAGGTCCCTCTCTCTAATTTCCTTTTATTCAATTCTCATTTAAGTGAAATCATTTTTTTTTTTGCCAGCCATTTAAATTTTTTATGTGCATTAGACTGTATCTAATTTTTAACATTGAAAAAATAAATATTCAAATTACAAATAAAAATTGATTGTAAACTTTTAAAATTTTTATGTCAGAAATTTAAGAAGATGTTGATTCTACCAAAAATTAATAGGCACCTCAAGGCGAAAGTATAAGTGCCGATCTAAAAACAAACTAAGTTAATGAGTAATTAAGCAATAAATTTTTTTTTATTTAAGTTAAGAAATCAAGATTGAATTCAAATTGAATGAAATGAATTACTGTAAATGAAATAAGAACTTACCAAATTAAGTGCAAAAATTAAAAGATACAATCTAGCTAGAGTCAATAATCTTTTGCTAGCTTTTTAAATCTTGTTTCACTAAATTAATTAGTTTTAGAGTTAATTTTGTTTAATTAATTATAAGTGTCTGTCGATTCACTTATAACTCTTTCAAGTCTCTAACACAACTATTCAAGAAGCAAAAAATTCGATGTCACTCATCAATAATTATACAAGATAATTTGGTATATTTTTAATCCTAATTACAAATTAGATTGCAATCCTTTTTGTCAAGGTAAACCTTAATCATCAAATTCACACGTAATAGTGGTTATAGTCATCAAAACAATAAAAAGCAAGATTAAGTAGCTAAAATTTAACATTAAGCATAATCAAATATTCAATCCACTAGCAAGTTTAAAAATTTAGCTACACATGAATATAATCAGTCTCAGCGAAGCGGCAAAAGTTCCAAATTCAAAAACCATAACGGAAATCAAAGGCAAAGGAGAGAGAGGCCGAAACCGTGAAATAGCAAATTCAAAAGATTGCTCAGCTCTAGTATTGGAATATTTTTAAAAAGTAAGAAGTGTGTTTTTTGAAAAGTTATATGTAAATTTATTAAATTAATAAATTTATATGAAGGGTTATGTTCTCATATGAATTAATATATTTACATGAGGCACATAACACGGTACAGACTTACCAAGATCAAATTTCTTGCCTTTGTTTTTTAGTGCACTCGAAGATAGAGTCAAATTATCACAAATTATTACTTTGTAAAAACTATTATTGTTTTGGCTTGAGTCTTGGAAATGCAATCCATACTCAAGAGTTTTCATTGTATCCCAAAAAAAAATTTATCAGTTATCATCTCAACCAACAACTTATTAGTAAATTTTGGAATTGCTTTTTATTATTTCTTATTTATATCTTAAACTAAACTATTTCTTTTTTTTAATTGAAAACTACAGTATTGATAATGAAAATCCCCCAAATAATGCTTAAGATTTATTTGTCTAATTAACTTTTACAAATCACTCAAATTAAAGGACATTTATAACTGTACAAAATATACTCAAAATGGTCTCTGAATGTATCTATTCTTCAATATACTACATGTTAAATATGAATGCCAGCCGTATAGTACAAATAAAATAAGTATTCCTTCATCATGAATCAAAAAGCTGACATTGGGTAATATTGTATTTGTAGTTGAATTATCTTAAAAAACAACACCTAAAATTTGTAATCAAACTTCAAAAAAAAAAAAAAAACGAAAGATGCCCCATAAATGGCAACAAAAGGAAAGAAACAGGACTGACCTTTATTGAGAATAATGATATGACAAGAACTGGCTATTAAATTATAATTATAAATGGATAAATAAACATTAGTGTTTTGTATAAATAATATGTTAGTTATATAAAATTGGAAATCCTCCTATATGGCATGAGAATAGTCAAATTATTTAAAGAAAACAGGCACATGTCAGCACTCCATGCATGACTCTGTTTCCAGTAGGCCTACATTATCTTCTCCTTATATAGTAAACCAAATTATTTAATTCAACAAAAGTCAATATGTTGAAGACGACAAATCAATCAGACATAGAAAGGCGATATTGGGTTCTTATCAATTCCTATTCTAGTAGCAGCTGGCACCATGAGAGACATAGATCTTTTGAGGAATTTTAGTTAGCCCCCGTAGCAGAGGATTAATTTCAAACAGTCCCGCAAGATTTTGAAATTTCACTGCACCCAAATTTCACCTGTGGGGTTTAACCCAAATTCCTCAGTTTGATCGGTCATTCTAAAGAATCTCGTCTCATACGTCTTCATCATCTGGCTCGTAATGGGGTATGTCTTCAAGGTGGTTTAATTCTCTGTTTCTTTTACCACATTCCCATGGAGTTTCTTGCACGTTGCTGTTACATTTAAAGAAAGTTGTTCTTACTTTCAATCTCTGTATCTGGTACTCTGTTTCTCATTTTCACATGTCATGATTTATGGAGTTCGTTTATATGATAAAAGATGTGATGAGATGGATTGCGGAAGTGAGAGGGAAGCAATTGGCAGAGACATATGCATGATCCTACAAGAGGTAGAATGAATCCTAACCCTTTATGCCCTGTTTTTGATCTTTTTGAATGAAGTGTGATTTGTGGAATCAAATTGGGAGCGGGAGGTACAAGACAGGGTACGTTGGGCACAAGTTGTTGGATGATGATCTCATTACTCCAATCTCTGATAATGAACGTCTTCAAAGGATCTCAAATCCACCCTCCCTCTTTTGTTATGTCCTTCAAATGAAACAATGGACTATTATCATTTGGTAATAATTTTCAGAATAAGTTTGATTATGAAGAAACTTCTATGTTTGGTGAAAGGAAAGCCTCCATATTAAAAGAGGAAATTCCTGTTCAAGTACATGATACAGTGGTAAACTGATGAAGCAGAGGCAACCCTTGACACCAAACTTCAACTTGAAAGATTTCCATATTCCAAACCAAATTCTGAGGATCAGTTATCATCAGAAATAAGCTCTGATAGGCCAACATTAGCAGATGAAAGTGAATCTTGTAAAGTTGAAGTAGACTAAGTTGAGAATCACTGGCTACATTTTTTTCTCTTATCAGCCCAGTTTGATGAAGAAGAGCAAGAATCCAAGTAACAAAACCAACAAAACTAACACGCCAGAGACATAATTTTCAATATCACCATCGTCTTGTTCTTCGTCATCATCATGATCTCCCTTAAAAGGAAGTAAGAGATTTTCAACAGGAGCTTGTGATCTGTTTTGCAGCTTGATCACCTGTGGAGCTTTAGATCCAAACGACGACGTTATGGTCATGCTGAACCAAGCTCACAAAACTGTCTCCAAGAACTCTAACATCCTCGATGATATTAATGCACACATCCGCAAACATGACAAATTCGGAGGATCAGCCAGGAATCCCCGAAGTTGTTGGAATCCCCAACAACATAATGAAAACAGGCAAGTAAATAGGAAATTGGGCCCAGAATATTTCAAGCTATAGAGACTATGACAATGATCAAAGTTAAATATATTTTGCATATGGACGTTTGTCTGGCCTCTAACATGAGCTTTCGTATTTGTAAGAAAAGCTGTGATGAGAAGAGCACAAGCACGAACAAGAACAAGAAGAAGCTAGGCGAGTTTCTGAATCTTAGATTTCTCACGAATCATTTGGAGGGTCAATTTCCTCTAGATGACTGAACATGTAA